AAGAGTGTATACACCAACGACATTGTGATCGATCGTGAGCAAGTCACACAGAGTCTATAATCATTGGTTATGATAGTCGAGCGCACAGTGGTAATTGGTGGTTGGGCATGCGTAATACTTTGCCAACCATCCCAGCCGACGAAGATTTACAACCTCATCAACTCATTTACCATCATTCCCTAATACCCTGCGTCTAACCCCACTATTATTTACCCGGTAACCCCAGCAAATGCTGGCAATATTCATAAGACATCTGTGATCAAATATTAGAAGATTACAAGTATCTTCTACTCTTAATGGCCACGTTTCGCAGCTGCAAAGTAGAGTAGAACGAATTGCTGAGCAGTATACTCGTCCTTTGCCATAGGTGACGTAAGTTGGCAAAAGCCAAACGACCTTTTCGAATCCGTGCTGAGATTTCGTCAGATACCAACCCATTACGGCTGATCAGACTTCCAAGATAAGTGAAGTTTTCAACGCGAACGACTACTTCACTCCCTATCCTTAGTTCAGGTGTTAACGCAGACCAGTCCTGAAGCAACAACTTGCATTTAGAGGGAGAGAAGCACATTCCAGACATTCTGGCATTGTTGCTTAGTGCTACCAGAAGACTGCATTTTATCAGCGTCCTCACCAAACAGGACTATATCATCTGCGTATTCTAAGTCGATAAGTAGACCTCCTGGATGGATATCAATAGCTGAGAATTCAGTAGACGAGAATGTTATTTCCACCAATAGGTCTATGATGAAGTTAAACAAAAATGGAGAAAGTGGACAGCCTTGACAGATGCCGCTTGAGGTTGCAAAAGTAGATGACATTTCGCCATAAGCTCTCACTCGACTAGTAGTGTTCAAGTAAAGAGCCTTTACAAGGTTTATGTACTTCTGTGGTACGCCTTTCAATGACAGACACTGCCACAGAATCTCGCGGTCTACGGAGTCAAATGCTGCTTTTAAGTCGAGAAAGACCATCATTGTCGGACGTCGATAAGTATGCCTATGTTCTAGAACCTGACGAATGGTGAATATATGGTCGATGCAGCCACGACCAGGTCTGAAGCCAGCTTGATTCTCTCGTGTTTGCAGTTCACGAGTCTTAGTTAGGCGTCTGATTCGAGTTAACACTTTGTATTAGCCAGCCCCAACATTAACAATTTTATTTATATAGCAAACAATTCCTGATTCACATAATACAATTTCCAAATGATGTATTTTGCCTTAAATCTGGCCAATTTTATGGATTATTAATCTGGATTTATAATTGTAGAACCTGATGAGAAATTATTGAAAAGAATATTCTTCGTTCATACAATTGTGTTTTTTTAATATAATGGGAATTTTTCATCAATTATTAAGGCTATTATTAGTTAAAATAATCCCTCTATGGTTGTCACAGGATGATTTTAACTTTCTCTTATGTAATGGGACGATAAGTGATTGTGACCAGTCAGATGGGATAACGTCTAACTCCCAGATCTTAGCTAAAATATTAGTCAATCTAATCACTAAAATTGGACCACCATCCTTAAAGACCTCTGGAGCCAATCCATCTGGGCCATCTGCCCTTCCTCGTTTCAGATTAACTATTAGCCTTTTGAACTTCAGCTAGAGTTGGGGGACCTACTTCAATGTTCCATTCAAGCTGTTTGGGAGTGAAGGGTAGTTGTAGAGTAGCTGCAGGCCAGCCGAACTGCTCTTAAAGGTGCTCCGCCCATCGTTCTAAATGTCTGGGCTGATAGCAGATAATAGTATAGTGTTTATCCGAGATCGTCTCACTTACACTTGACCTACTAATTCCAGCATCTTTTACTAGTCTGAAAAAGTGTTTCGTGTTACCTACAGCCGCGGCCTTTTCCACAACTTTTCCTTTAGCTACCCATCCCTACTGACGTTCGTTCCTTAGACTTTTGCCTAATCTAGATCTGATTCGTTTTCGCTCATCATCGTGTTCAGAGCCTGATGAGATGAGTTTACGAGAACTTATCAGTGAAATAGACTTAGTAGAAATCCATTGGTGTTTTGTAACCCTTTGCTTTGAATCACTAATAGATGTCACTCCTATTTCCACAGCTGTTCGGACATCTTTCGAAACGACGTCTGGGTCAGCCTCGTTTTCAGAACTACCTAAGCGCGACCTCAGTTATTCCTGGAATCTATTTTTGGCTTTCTTGTCACTGAGTTCAATTCTAATGGGTCTTCTTAGTGCGATTTTTCTGTGTCGATTGAGGCGAATGCAAATTCGTGCTCCTATTAGAGCAAGATCAGAGTGTAAATGTATATTCCAAAATGAGTGGCAGCCTTATATCGAGAATCCCAACGACGACTGATGGCAATATGGTCTACTTGAGTCCATTGTTGGTTTGATACATGTGGTCGCCGCCATGATAGACAGTGTCTCTCCTTATAAGTAAATTAGTGCTTGCTAACAATAAACGATCGGCTGCAGCAGACGATCACCATTATTTTTTCGCTGGGCCGGAATACTAAAATACCCGCCTAAAGCTCTTTCGGTTTGGTTTAAGCTACTGACTTTGGCATTAGAGTCACCTGTTGCGAGTACTATTTTTGAGTGTTTAGCTTTTTAAAGAAGTTCAGAAAGCTTTTTGTAAAAGCCATCTTTTACTTCATCCGGGCATCTGTCAGTGGGAGTGTAGGCAGAAACGACGAAAAGGCAACGACATGTGTGCCTATCCTTCCGAGTTCTTACCGAGTCGTTTAGTCGAACAGCACATAGGCGACTATTAATGGTGGTCCATTTTAATAGCGCTTGTTCTGCCCTCGTAGTGTTATGCCTACACCCGCCAGTCCACGAGAACTATTTATCGGGTCGCCAGATAAGCAGTCAGTGCATCTCGTCGTCTCTCTGTTTTGGCGAGATGAGGTCAAGTGAATGACAAACTAGGGTCCTATATGCGTGCTTCAGAGACGCAGCATACATCAATGGCACGAAATCCTAGGGTCTTAGTCAAGGAGACCTGCTGGCCTATTTGAGATAGGGTGAAATTGTGTTAGAGTTATTCTTAGTGATCTGAGAGCGTGAATATAATGCCCAAGAGGTAACTGCTTGGGACCGATCACGCATGATCTGCTTGTGGGGATTTCTGTGTTAGCTCCATACATGTTGAGACCTTACCACTGGAGACGGAAATATGTGGGACAATGTGAGGTGTGCATTGTTAGAGTCGACTTTTTCTAGCCCACCCTTCCTTGTGGGAGGGCAGCATCGCTGTTGCTCTGATTGTCTGAAGGATACACCATACTACCGTCACACCTTTGTACAGTCGGAGTACGGCTTCAACCTCGGGTCTGTTGATTTAAGTTTTACCGCTCTTCAAGTGACCTGCCCTGAATGGTAAGATCTTGAAGAACGGTTGCTCCAGCCAGTGTAGCTCGATTATTTCGTCACGATAGGCGAGACCGGCCACAACTTCAAGGTAGAAACAACAGTTGGGTTATCATCAGAGCGTATCTAGGCAAGCAGGGTTTATTATGTGTTATTTGATTTGTATTGGATCTTGTGTGATTATTTAAACTGTGTTTTGTGTGTGCTGATGTACATTAGTTTGCATAGGTCTTTCGCTGAGAAACAGTTACCCTCCGCTATTTGTTTTTAAGAAATATCGTACTCATCTATATCTTACTAACTGACTGACGGACAGGATTAGAAACACAGAGTGACGTTAGTTTCCAAAAGTATCAGCACACATAGCTTATCATGATACCTTGAGATTTGTCGTGTGCTTTTACATTTATTTGATCATGGACCTAAAACTCTTAAACTATAAAAATGTGATAATCTGATTTTTAATTTTCATGCTTTGAATCGCGAAATGACAACCATTGAAAACTAGAAGCATTGAACGATCAATTTTTCCTAATGTGGAACATCACAGCAGTGCACTTCTCTGACCTCGCATGCCAAAGTCGAACTTAAGACCCTAATTGTCGATTGCAAATACTGTCTCTAGATCACTGAACCTACATCCAACGGTTTTAATGCTTAGCTTTTATCCGTCTGTGGTTCAAATTATGAAAATTCTATAATCACATATCCCCCAATACTGATAAGTTGTAACTGTCTAACATGACTATTCAAATTATTTTTAATGACTATGTTGACGTTGGGTCGCCAAACTTTTATGAACGTTGGCTTATTATGTTAAGTAATAAAGCCAAACCTGAAAATGGTGGTATTATTTTATGAGTTCTGTTAGGTTTTTGTTAAAAATACGTACACTTTATGAATGTGACAGAAGTGGAGTAAACATTATTTGACTTCACACAGTATCTTGGACTACTTTATTTTTCTAGAATCCTCATGTTTTTTTACTAAGAACTGAACATTTAAAGCAATCGTCTTATTTTCCAAGACATACTGGGAGCATGAAAATATAAACTTAAAACGTGTGCGAGTATATTTTATTTCATAAAATCAACAGTTGGTTTCATTTCTCTGCTTTTACTTAAGTAAGTAGACTCCTCTTTGAATTTTCATTTCGGGTTTGATAATAATAGAACTATTAGTAAGTGGTAGTTTATTTCTTCCTTACATTTATATTTTCCCGAACTTAAAACGGTTTATTTCATTTTGTTTTTCACTTTTGTTGATTTCCTATTCTCATACGACGTGTGAAACCTTAAACCCAGAAATTTTTGTGTAGAGTTATATTTGTATACTTGTTTTTCCAGTTATCTGTCCAGTAAATAACTAAATGTTCATATTTCACTGTTGTGGTGCTTTTTATGGAAAGCCATACAGGCCAGTAATCACGTAAAAGGAATGGATCAATTTTCGAGTTAAAATATTTTGGTCGGTAGGCTTATTAGAATGATTTTTTGTTCTAGAAATAACGTAGAATGCTATAATCAAAAACCTATAGCATGCAGCAGTTTTTAATTTAAAAACTTGGTAGGCAAGGTTGCCATGGTAGAGATAATTAAGCAACGATTGGGTATTTTCAAATGAAACATCTTCAAAATACTTTTTATTAAAAATTATTAGTGATTGGCTTGTAGAAACTGTTTGCTTTGATGGTCTATCAACTCTTCCAAATGTTGAGCTCTCTGATTGGCTGCGTCCAATTCACGATCCTTCTTCTCAAGTTCATTTTGAAAGCTTTCTCGCAATATGGCGAATTTTTCCTCTTTCTTTTTAATGATCTCTTTAATTCTATAAAGGGTAAGAAGGAAAATTTTGTCTGTTTTACGGATACAGTTTTTGTTGTTCACTTTTAAAACTACATTCTATGTGGAACATTGAGTTCCAACCGCTTTACAAACACATAGTTATAAATGCAAGGTATACTCAAAACAATTGGCGGTGCACAGTTTGCAAAACAATTGGTTGTATTATTTTAGATAAAAAACAAGAACGTTTTACTTCTAACAGTTTAATCTCATTGAGTAAACTATTTTCACTTTTTGAGTTGTAGGCTGCAGTGAAATCCAAGCTGCGCGTTTCGTCCTATTTGGGGTTCGCCATTAGGATTTACTTGCATCCCAGCCTGGATGTTCAGACTAGGACTCGAACCCAGTATGTATCGCTTTAAATTTCAAAGGCTTGTCCAATAAGCTACTGAATTCAATTAACCCAGTTCAACATATATGAATTCATTTTTAGGAGTTTGTATTATCCCATTATTAATGTAAATAAATCCAAGTAATAGGTCAAATATGCAACCAAACATACTAAATTCTGAGACAAAGGTAATATCGAGGCAGCCCCCTCAAGGTGCACACATCTTAAGAGAATTTGACCAGTAGGTGTCCTTTATACCAACAACGAGAAAATGCAAATACAAATATTTTCACTTTATGCAAAGTTGGAACCTAACAAAAATATAAAATTTAAAATCCAATGTTCCTCAGTTATAAGTGCTGCAGATTAAAAGCTACTTCTAACTCATCACCGAAGTTTATGGTACAGCACCTTGTTGGGACTTTTCCAAGCATCTAATATCAGGTCTCATGAATGACATGAAATAATTGGGCTATAAAAAATGGAAAAAAACAAACAAGGAAACTCAAAATCAAAGTTTGCCATTACTTTAGGTGAACTGTTTCTATTTCTGAGTTGTTCAATTTCTTAATAGCATCAATTTCTTTTTCATGTCTTTCTTGTTCAGCCTTTAAACGGGCCTTCAGTTCGGCTAACTCACGTTTCATCGACCTATTTTCTTCTTCCACATAAACAAGGCGATCAGCAAATTCCTGACGTATTACATCTGAAATGTTTTGGCGTTCTTGATTAAGTTTTTCGTATAATAAGCGAACTTCAGCTAACTCCTGATCTTTCTGCGTCAACTGTGACCGAAGTCTATCTGCTTCATGCTCTTTATCTAAAAATTGAGTCTATAAAGAGATGAATACAAGAGATAAATGTTTACTGTAATGTATTTATAAAATACTGTTGCAAGTAGTTTGATAATATGGAAAGTAGTCCTTGGTCACAAAAATCTTTGCATCCAACAATGAGTTGAATTCTTTATCGAACTGAAAAGTTAAAGTTCACAAATAAAATGTATCTGGTTTAAAAGTATACAGCTATTTATCAGTCGGTGAACGTAAATTTCCAATTCATCAACAGGTTTCAAATAAACAAATAATAATCACAGATTTTAGAGTGCAAAAATTTTACAGACCTTCATCAGACAATATTTCTCCATTGCTTGTCTCTCTGATCTTTCAAGTTCCTCTATTTCAGCTTGGAATTTTTCACGTACACGTCTGAATTAAAGAAGAAGTAAGCTGAAGTGGTTTAAATATGTGAACTTACTTCACCTTCAGTTCTGCTTGACGATCAGTTTCTAACCTTGCTTCATTTGCTTCAGCTTCAAGACGTTGAACTGCAGATTCTAACAAGCGATCTCGTTCTTTCTTGAGCTGTTCCTTCAGTATAGTCTCTCTAGAAGTATACTGGGATTCCAACAATGACTTAGTATGTTCTTCCCATGCTGTACGTTCAGCCAAATTACGTTGATTCAACTCAGCTATTTCATCCTTGTAAGTAAATAAAAAGAGGGGGAGGGAGAAGCAATTTATTTACTTGACATTTTTAAGAATTTTTGTCCTCAGTTATGTGATGTATATAAATAGGAATTCACACCTATTCAAATGTTAAAAATGAAGTCCCTGGGGAATCTTACAGTTGTTTTAGGTAGATTTGCTCTTCTATTTAAAAATAAAGTATAGACCGTTGTGCCAGTCTGGAACAGATTATGGAAAACTTTATGGATTGGACACATTTTTCTCCTAAATAATAGTTTCCGACTGTTCACAACAAGTGTACACGTATTTTAAGGCAACGGACGAAAACATTTTCAAAAAACTTGAATCCAATTTTAGTGAAGTAATGATGGACTCAAAATGTTGATAAGGACCAGGTAGTCTTGTGTCATTACCTTCCATCTTACCAAATGTTTGGTAATGCAAGCATATACCTTTCTCAGATGGTCCTTCGACTCGAGAGTATCAGGTCTCCTATGGAAATTATTTCCGGTGCACTAAAATTTCTTGAATATGCTCTTACTCATCTATAACCTCTAATCAATCAAGAAATTATTTAAGCCGGCTAAAGGAAATGTTTGTAACCAGAACAATAAAATCGATGATTATAGATTGTTAATATTAAAGTGTAGTCATCGCTATTGTCTCGTAAGTTTATTCCAAGTACATACTTACTGCCATTACTCCTCACGGAGGAACATAGGCCGCTCACCAGCATTCTCCATCCAACCCTTTCCTGGGCAATCCTTTCCAGCTCTTTCCATTTGTTATTCACCCTTTCCATATTTGCTTCTATTTCCTGACATAATGTGTTCTTTTGCCTTCCACTTCTCCGTCTCCCTTCACGATTCCAAGTTAGGGCTTGCCTCATGATGCAGTTTGTTGATTTGCGTAGTGTATGTCCTATCCATTTCCATCGTCTTTTCCTAATTTCCTCTTCTGATTGAAACAGGTTTGTTCTCTCCCACAGTAGACTGTTGTTGATGGTATCCGGTCAACGGACACTGATTACCTTGCGTAGACAACTGTTTACAAATACTTGTATCTTTTTGATGATGGTTGTAGTAGTTCTTCACGTCTCAGCTTCATACACTAGGACTGCCTTGACGTTCTTATTGAAGATTCTGACTTCGATATTGGTTGAAAGTTGTTTTGAGTTCCATATGTTCTTCAATTGAAGGGATGCGGCCCGTGCTTTTCCAATCCTTCCATTTATGTCTGCATCAGATTCTCCTCGTTCATCGATGCTGCTTCCCAGATACGTAAATGTTTCCACATCTTCCAGAGATTCTCAACCAAGTGAGGTTGAGTTGGTGTTCTCTGTGTTATATTTAAGGATCCTGCTTTTCCCCTTGTGTACGGTGAGGCCTACTGATGCAGAGGCTGCTGCCACACTAGTTGTCTCCATCTGCATTTGTTCTTGTGCATAGGACAGAAGAACCAGGTCATCTACGAAATCCAAATCGTCTAGTTCCACCCAACTTGTCCATTTTATTCCGTGCTTCCCACCTGATGTCGAGCTCTTCACAATCCAGCCAACTACCAGAAGAAAGAGGAAGGGAGGCAGCAAGCAGCCTTTTCTGACTCCGTTCCTCACTTGGAATGCATTTGTCAGCTGTCCTCCATGCACCACATTGCAGTGTAGTCCGTCGTATGAATTCCGGGTGATGTTGACGATCTTCTCGGGTTCACCATAATGTCGTAGGTGTTTCCATAAGGTTCTCCTATCCACACTGTCAAATGTTTTCTCATAATCAAGGAAGTTGATGTATAGTGACGAATTCCATTCAATTGATTGTTCGACGATGATCCGTAGTGATGCGATTTGGTCTGTGCACGGCCGATCCTCACATAATCCAGTCTGTTGATCTCGAAGTTGAGTGTCTACTGAATCTTTTATCCGGTTCAGCAACACTCTGTTAGTAACTTTGCCTGGTACTGATAGTAGTGTGATTCCTCCATAGTTTTCATATTTGCTCAGATCTCGGTTCTTCGGTATTTTGATGACGTGTTCTTCTTTCCAGTCAATCGACACTTGTTCCTCCTCCCAAATCGTTTTGAATAGAGGGTAAAGCATGTTTGTAGTTACTTTGATGTCTGACTTCAGTGCTTCAGCTGGTATGTTGTCAAGTCCTGCTGCTCTTCCGCTCTTGATTTGTCTGATGGCCATTCTGATTTCTTCCGTCATTGGTGGATTGACATCTATAGAAAGATCTGTGTGTGCTGCTTCGATGTCCGGTGGGTTCATTGGAGCCGGCCTATTCAGGAATACTCTACCCATCTGTTCCTCTGTTGTTGAATTTCAGTGATTGGCCTGCCTTCTTTGTCCTTGACCGGTCTCTCTGGTTTACTATATTTTCCTGCTAGTTTCTTCGTTGTATCGTAAAGCTGTTTCATATTTCCTTCTCTTGCAGCTTTTTCTGCCGTCGTTGCTAGTTCTTCCACGTATTTCTGCTTGTCGACTCTAATGCTCTTCTTCACTTGCTTGTTTGTTTCTATGTACTCAGCTTGTTCTTGAACTTTCTCTGTTCTGGCTCAGCTGTTGTTAGTTGCTGTTTTCTTGTTCTTTTTTTTGAATCTTGTACAGGGTTCCGATGGAGATCCATTCCTTATGATGATACTTCTTTCGGCCAAGCACCTCTTGACACGTTGAAGTTAATGCTTCTTTGATCCCTTTCCAGTTGTCCTCTATAGTAGTTTTTTCTTCTTTCAGTGGATCCTGCAAGGCGTGGAACCTATTGTTGAGAGTTATCTTGAATTGGTTGAGTTTGTCAATATCTCGATGGAAGGCTGTATTGAACCTTTTTAATGCTGTTTATCCAGTTGTCCAGTTTTTTTTTAGCTTCAGTTTTAAATTGACCACAACTAGGTGGTGATCTGAGGCTATGTTATAATTGGTTAGTTAGTTAGAAATCATTACATTTACGTGTTAAGTTTAATAATGCAAGAAAAGTGATTATTATTTTATTCAGAGTATAATAATGCTGAATAATAATTAAAACAGTTATGGTTTTGTTTAGTAAAATTATACCAAATCATAATTCTCAAGGTTAAAATCTTTCATTCTCACGAAAATATGTCTTCCGATATTCAGTGTTAATAGATGTAAAGAGCATTTTCGAATTAATCTCACAGACAGCCTAAACTAAATTCTTGTCCAACCACGTTCAAACGTTGGTTTTCTGTATGATAAGAATGTATAACGGGATGTATGAAATTAATTATTTAAATAGGTAAACAATGTATATATTTCCAGTTAATTTTAATTGATATCACAGCACACTATCCTACTGTTTCCTTTCAATAGATACGTCGATGAGATCAATTTAGTCATATGTACTCAAAGTTTAATAAAACACAAAACTATTACTATTTTCATATCCAAAAGCTTTGTGTTCACTGAATTCTTAATTTTAATAGCAAACAAGAACACCCACCTCATTTGCAATATTCTGTTGATGTTCCATATTAAGTGATTCACAATCTCATTATAAAAAAATCAATTGTTGAACTTATTTGAACAAGCGTTCAGTATAGACTTGTTTAAAACTTTATTTATCTATGATCATTTAGATTTTCATCATTGAGGAGATCCTTTACTCATACTCTGTCTTCTCGTGATAGTTTTTCATTTTCATTCAGCAATAATTACATTTTAGTTACTTAAAAAATTCACTTTTCAAAAAGAGCTGAACCGGTTGAGACAATTAAAAAAATTAAACTATAGCTTGTGCAATCCGATAAAACCCACCGGTTGACCATAGGATTTAACTATCCAGATTGTATTAAAATCGGTGGGTTTTGGTCTAAGGGTGATTAACTGATTGGTTTGAATCACATACTCAGAAAGTGAGATCAAACCAATTATATGAGTAATTTTAAAAAATAGTCAATAACGAATACATTTATAAATTTAACTCCCCACCACACTCCTCACAGGAAACATGGATCAATCAAAATAGTAAAGACTTTCTAACATGTTCACAGCGAAGAAGAATGACTGCAATATATGATAAATCTTCCATAAACAACTGAGAAATAACTTGTAAGAAATCGTGGAAATCCAAGAGTCTCTGAAAAGTTTGTGTCATTAGTATAACCAGGGTACTCAGCTACGGGATGTTTGTCAGAGCATTTTTGTATTATTCGGTGAACAGTTTTGTTAACTAACTCTAAACAAGGACGACAATTACTGGATTTCTCTAGGCTGTTTAGTGCTAGTAATTCTCAGGATATACATAGTGACCTATCCCTCGTGGCATTTCTCAACCAATCTAATAACCTAAGAACTTTTGGTCTGCATCTTCAAATAATTTAAGATATCCCTAGTGAAATTTTATTACAAAGTCTTGCTAACTCAGCAAGAAGAACGTCTTACTTAGAACTTTTTAGTTGATCGACAGTTGTTCGTTAAGAATCCTAAGAACCACTTAGTTTGAAATTTTCGACATAAATATATCATTTTAAATTAATGGAAGAAAATAAATTGAATAAAGATGACCAAGCATTCTCTGTTCTCATCTGTTACATGAAATCAGTCAACGGTACTTGCTAAATTCCTTATTGCTTGAATTTTGATCAAGAATATAAAATAAATAACCATGAAGCAATAATATTATACGTATATAATAAAAACTGACCTTATGTCTTTGAATCAAATCCGCCCTTAATTGTTCAATTTCCATTTTATGTTGTTCGTTAGCTTGTGTCAAGGCAACTTCTAAATTGTTCCTAAGAGTATCCATTTCAGCCCTTTGTTTAGATGCAGTCAATGCCAATCTTTCACGTTCATCAGAAATCTCATCTAACAATCTACGTCTATGGGCTTCCAAAGAATTACGTTCTTCTGCTAAAGTTTGATTTAATCTACAATTAAGCAAAATTCTGTATTTTAAAATCTTTAAGATGAGTAAATCTTCCTATGCGGAACAGTATTTATAAACCTAATAACATAAAGAAAGAAACTAATAAAGATGACTAAGTAATTTTACTGTTTAAGTTAAACCATTACTGATAATGGATACGTGCTTAAAGAAGATATAGGTTGGCTGAAAATGGTCTCACAGCCTCGTTTTAGTTCATTGTTACGTACTGATAAAAATGGAGTCGAAATCAGAATAACACCATAGTGTTAGCAGTAATAAGAGATTACAATGAATAACCTGACAAACAATGCTATCGAAAACTTTCGTAAATTAATTTAACTGAATAGGGTTACCGATAAAATTGATAAAAACGATCTCATCATCCAGCTGCACCTATGAAGAGAGTACTGTAATGTGGACAAAATTAACAAATTATTATATCTACTTAAAGTAAACTTAGGCTAACATAATTCAGGCGGTTATGTATCATCAGATAGTTCATAACAGATAGCTAACTAATAAAGAATGAAATATCTCGCACTTCTCTCGTGACTGAAACTCATGAAAGATCTATAGGTATAGAATGAGTTCCAGATTGAATGATACAAATGAGCAAATAAATCTCCAAGCAAAATTGCATGTCAATAATGCTGAAACCCTCCGGCTCTGTAGGCAGTAATATTCTACAAATTGTATACTATAACTCGGTCGAAAATTACTAGCTTATCAACTTCCTGACCAATTCCATCAAATGAATTCTCAGAATACAGACTTTCTGGTTTGGTGTCATCAAATGCCAGTAATCGTTGATTGAGAACCTTGAGTCTGATAGTTCAAAGGCGATTACAGTAGCGGAAATGAATTAGTCATGAAAGGAGCTTGAGTGTCCATATCATATTCTAACTATACCAAAACCCACCTGAAGGTATACCAAAATAATAATCTTATGATCGCAGTTTGCTACTTATTAAAACATCCTTTTTAGGTAAAAAAAAATTTGGAAATCTCAGCTTTTTAAATTTGTCTCACAAAAGATCACATAATTCACATAAACAAAAAATCGGCAGTAATAGTTATAGTTCTTGCTTAAAATGAGTTTCTAATACACATTCACAAAATGGCCGTCCATTACTTCCAGGTTTTTAATGGTTGTCTTTGTTCGATTTGCGACTTCAATAAGAAAGTATTAGTAATTACAAAAAGGCTATCTAACTACCGTTGTTCAACAAGTTCTCTTTCTCTACAGCAGGCTTCATCTTTTTCTTTTATCAACGTCTGTTTTAGTTCTTCAATGTGACTAATATAAGCTTGATAGGCGCGTACATCAGCTGCTTGAATTTGTTGAGCGCATGACTGACGCAAACTTGCCATTTCAGCCTTGTGATTTGCGATCATTTGGGCTACTTCATTTTCCATCCCACGAATAGTAACTTCCTATTAAACCAAAATGAAATTAATACAGGAAAATATCAAGATATGACCCTTTTCCTTATATAAAATATGAGCGAATTCAATTATGCTCAAATTCTCATTTGATTCTGTTCATCACTTGTCCTTTATAATCTATGTTGTGAATAGTAACAAAATGCAAATCATTTATAAATTAACTCCATAGATACTTGTGTAGGTAAACTATCTCCATGATAAAAGTTTTATTGTATCAGTGGACGTTTCATAAAGTTATCCCCCACTTCCTGAATGAAACACGAACATTTATGAATATGTATTCAGTTTGATTAAAAAGTGAATAAAATGATATACGGAATTATTTTCCGGTAAGAAATAAAACACGTCCACCCGGGTGTCTCGAAAATTAAACCAAAATACAAACTAAATTTGGCTTGTAAGATGTAGATTTTTAGCGGCTGATCATATGACTCCAACTGGATCGTATGATGGTTGTTATCGAAAATAGACATATATATAATCCTCATATACAATTATCGACTCATATCGCGTTGATGAAGAACGGAATTAAATAAGTCAAATGCGAGAATGGAGTTTGAATACGTATATTTTGTACACTCATTGATCTGAACAAACAATCAAGAAACTAAGAGAAGGAAGCGTAGAGGAGAGAGCGAAGCAAAACGAAATGACACTCAGTGGATAAGGCGAATTAACTAACTCGTATTGATCAATATTTATATTCAGACAAAAATATGTTACAGACACTTAATAAATAGGATAAGTAATTGGCACACGTACGACCATATATAAACGGTCAGGGTTAATAACCGAATAAGTGACAAGGTCAAAATGTAGTTTAAGAAGAATGAATAAAGTAGTCTGTTGAGAAGCTAGAATATCGTATTTAGGTTTGATATAGTATCAGCTACTATAAAGCGTTTGGAATTTTTATTAAGTGATTTCCGACCACCTCAGTGTCGTGAATCAGGATATCCATTTTTCAATTTCTTTTTATGCATAACTAAACATAAATACATTCAATTACTTTATAATCATATCCAATATCAACTTTTTAGCACCAATATGGATAGCCATTGAATAACTTGTCAGTACTGCAAATGTGAATAGATAATAAAGTTTAACTAAAATTCCCTGATATCTTGGATCTCTTAGTTAAATAGTCCTTATAAAACACTGATCATATGTAGAATAAGGGAAAATGAAGAAAACGAGCAACTACTTTAAATGAGCTATTTCTTTTAAAAAGTATATGATAACTGTCAATAAAAAATAACTGCTTATTTTATTCGGACACATGAAAGACCCTTTGCATCTAATCCATACAGACTTAAAGCACTATATCAAATTGTATACAGGTTATATTCTACAGACTTTCCTCTTTGTATGCTTCTGAGATGAAGTGAACAGTTATCTGGAGTATTAATAGGACCTTTTAATGATCAGATACCAAGATTTAAAGAACACTCAATCATCATCAGTAAACACGCGTCAGCATTACTCTAACACATTCACAATGAATGCTATCTCTAACCGCTTTCCATACACTTAAAACATTACTGTGAATTACTTCTATAATATTGTAGGTAATGTAACATAACGCGATGTATATTGGCAGATAAATGCAATAAAGTTCATACAAAAAACTACTCACTTTAAAATGTTTTGCTTTTTCTGTCTCCCACTTTTCCCGGCGCAGCTTTTCCGCAGCTAAATGTTTGGCCTCTACTTTTCGCATCTCGACTTTGTGTCTAGTTAAAAGATAATCGAAAACACTACTTATGTGAACTTTATTGGCTGTAACCGATAAATTTAGCCTTTCTATAATAGTTTTCGTTAATAAAATTTTTACAGTTTTTTTATATTCGGTGAATTAAGTATATACACTTCTTTTATTAATTGTCAACTATAGGCGACAAAGAGATATATTCTAGTTTTATATTTTCAAAGATTTTCTTTCGTTCAAACATCGCTGAAACATTCATGCTTTGATGAATGAATGTCTAGTTTAGGCTACGGATAAAAAATTAGGACACATTGGCAATCTATGCATTGAAATTTCGTTGGTAATCATATTAATAAGGTAGATAGAATTACCCAGATTAGAGAAACATCCAATAATCATCAATTTATATCATACAGTCAGATATGCAACAGTTTGGAAAAGCATCAGTATATAGCTTAAAAGTGATAGACGTGAACTTTGAGTCTAGTTTATGATCAATACATTTTGATAATTGTGCATTTCCAGGTATTTTGACTGTAGAACCATCGTATAAAAAAATCCTATACTGCGCTAAACCTGTTTATCTCTACGTAGCTGTATTCATCGTAATTCCAGAAACGTTAGTAAGAATAAATTAATCATTAGTTTATGGTGCGATTTTCCATTCCTTACGATTCGAATTTTATCCTAAATAACATCTGTTATTACTTCCACAACATTTGTTAAGTAACTAGATTTAATAACTTTAAATACTCTCAAATATATTGTTATGGACGCAATTACTTCATACTTGTATTACTTATTTAGTCGTAAATCGAATCACTAAGGACTATTATGTAAAATTCCTATAAACAACTTCACATAGTTCCAAACTCAGTGTTTTGTTGGATCTCGAAAGGAAAAGTGCAGCATCTTCAAAGAATAGTTGGGTCAAATAGTTCCATGTTAGATAGATAACCTTAGTATTACAAGATTTCAAAAGATCACAAATTAAAGCTCAACTCTTCATCAATTATAAGGAAATTTAACAACTTAAAGAGAATACTTCAACCTGGACTATGTACAATATTATTAGACATAAAAGGTGGAAGCATTTACAAGTTTAAACCTATCTGAATAGCAAGATTTAAACGAATGCTTAATTTAGACAAGAATGTATTACGGAGTGTACTTGAAGTAAACAAGTGTTCATTTTATTAAGTAAACTATAGGCTTTAGTTGTTTGAGTAAACGATATTAAACTTTTTAAATAGAGCTTAGTTCTGAAAATTTCAATGAACACGGTATTGAAAAAGTACTTTGTGTTGCGAACTGACTATACAGGTAAATGATTTCTTTGTAGTTGACTGCAGAGTTAGATTCACGAAATGAGGACTAAACAAAACTTCCATTAGGTTCTAATCAAGCCTTTGTGAAGATTAAAAGCAAGTCTTAATTTTAAACCGATTACTCCTCTTAATAATTTTTTAATTCGCGTTGCTTGGTGCTCCTTCGTTTCCACACCAATCATTCTCTGTTCTCGTTCTCTTCTCTTTTCGAACTTAACCTTGTGTCGCTAGGCATTTCACTTTCGATCGATGAAACATACTACTTATGTTGGTCGACATCAGTAGCACACACCACAATATGAAAAATACCCAGTTTTATAACAAATAATATGCTGAGTATCATGCTGAGCATAGTTAACGTTAATTTAATAAAAGAATATAGTGAATATTATTTATCACACAGTTATTGTTGTACTGTTTTTACCAAAGATTTTTTTATCCCATCTTAAACACGATTTCATCCCGTTTTGTCCAATGAAATAATTAGTTTTAAAATGGTAATTATTGATTATTATTCTCCAAAAAGTAATATAAAACGTAAATATTCCTCGAGTGATCATTTTTTCTCCAAAGGTAAATAACTTACAAAGTACCAGATGTATTGTTTCGAGCGTTCCAATAGCTTGAAGAGTTAAGGAGCGCTATCAGAAATTATGAAAGGGTGACATACTGTTATTATGGGGTCCCTGACTCTCATTTCCATAAGAATCAGAAGAATGCCTCAAGCAGTGTCGACATTATTCTCAGCACCTGGGCTAAGTTATGAAGAAGGTGATGTTGTTTCAATAAACTCAGAAGGATTCAATGACAGAGACAATAACATAGACGAAGATGTTCATGTCAACGAACTGTGTGACATATGCCATCTTACTCAGCCACCAAGTGAAACTGTTAAGGGAAGAACCTGGATTATTTTTCGCTGCAATGCTGTGTTTCATTCGTTTTGTGGTTGGGACGCACCACAGCAATTCCTTGGATTCCATTGTCTAATATGTGGCGCGATTAAGGTAGTGTAATGGAACACATGAACGCAGCGAAACTTGGTATCACAGGCAAAATGGTTTGTTCATATTTCAGTTACTAACTGAGAATCTAACGTTTTTTTTACTTTTTTTATGAGGCGATTGTTGAAGAAATACGGGAATGGGAAGATGGAAAACCCTGGAAGAGAAATGAATGTAGAGTTGGAACCAAGAGACCGATAGAAGGCCGTTTTTAAGGCCACGCATAATTTCATTTAGATTTTTATTTTTTATTTTGTCACAAATTGCATTCCATATACGTTTTCTGCATTTTGTATGACGGTTCAACCATCATTGCGTATAAATTTAATTGTTCATGAGCAGGTTTTACAGGTTGCAGCCGTTCCGTTTCGTAGTTTTTTGATAACCAAATTGAGATCGTTCTTATTCGATCAAAACAAAATCATTAAGCAAAATTCTATGATTACGAGAAACCAACTACACTGTACCAATGACATTTTTAAGAACAACAAATAGTGACAGTTGTATGGCCTGTAGTTTAGGCTATTGAGTCGAAATTTGATTTTGCCTTTTTATCACATCATATCAGCAATCATCTTAGCCAAGTAACAATAAAGATCACCTTCTACTAACTAACCTTTCTTCAAGTGCTTTGATTTTTTCGTTCGTTTTCTTTGTCACTGTCTTTAGTTCTTCTAAAAATTCTTCACATTTTGTATGAAGTACTTTTTTCTCTTCAATTAGTTCATCAATTAGTTTATAATTTCGGTTAATTGTACATTCATAATCAGCTTTAATTGATTCTATTCTTCGATCACCATCTCTCTGTGTGTCTTCCGACTGCCTTAAAAACAGTTCTCTTTGATGCTCTATAATTCTCTGTAAGCGTTTTATTTGACCTTTTTTCTCTTCAAGTTCCAACATCAAACATTCATTGTCAGTAGTGATACGTCCATCGTCGCTTTGAATTATCTGCTAAAAAGTATACATTTAAATTAGAAAAACTAGATAAATGGAGGTAGGTTCCTTGACAAAATTTATCCTACAGTAAGCAAAACATAGGAGTTGTGTGACAAATGATATAGTAATTAGTCTGGTCTAGGATTTTCATCATATAATCTTTGAGTTGTATGCACAGAATTCATGGTAAATTAAAACTCGTCCAAACTCCAAGATAGCTTATTTCAACCTGATTTCCATTTTTAACTCCACCTGTAGCTCTTCTAGGATTACTACCGGTCTTAAGCCCGAGGAAAGAAGAAAGGTTAGACATGGGTTCAGCAATCATATCCCGTGGAATTGGACCTTGCTAAAAGGTACTAGTCAGAAAAAAATCATTTAAACCATTTTAACTCTGCCCTAGGAGGTAAACAGTGTTGAGCTGGAAGAGTTATGACGCCTCATGGTGAAGGTTGGAAATATCAGGAAATCACGAGTCCAATGTCCCTTCTAACAACCAGAGCAACAATTGATACATGTACATGAAATTTCCGAACAGCGTGGGAGACCAGGAGGACGAGTCAAGTAACTGCAGAAATGTAAATATAAAACCTGGCTACGTTTGAAAGAGTAAAATCCACTGGACGCAAACTGGACAGAAAAGAATAGATTCTGGAGAGGTGCTGCTGCACACTTATACAAAGAAAATACTCCACACACTCAGGAAGTTGTTCTGATGCCGTCCGAAGAAGCACATAAAGCACCTATGGATGGGAAACTCATGGATCCGGAATCACCAAAGCGTCCTCCAAAATAAAGAAGCAGGGTATCACAATGAATGCTATTCAATGTTATGCACCCACAAATGATAGCAATGAGGACTATAGAGATCAGTTTTACAAGAGGCTGCAATCGATCATGGCGAAGTGCACAGGAAAGAACCTGGCTATCCTGGTGGAGTACCTAAATACCAAGGTATGGATGGACAACAACAGGAATGGAGATGTCTTGGGACGACATGAACCGACTAGGAGAAAGGAACGAGAATGGTGAGTGGTTTGCAAATTTATATGCCTTCGAAAAAACGATTATAGGTGGGACCGTATTTCCCCGGCAAACGCATTCACAAAGCTACATGGGTATCACGGGGTCACAATACAGAGAACAAGATTGATCATGTTTCTTCACTAAGAAATTCGGAAGATCCATTGAAAACGTGAAAAAAGGAAGGCTTTGACATCGCTTTAGATCATCACCTGGTGGTTGCCAAGATGAAACTGAAGCCACAGAAGCACTGAACAACTGTAGAAATAGCATTACATAAGTTCCTTCGAGTTACTGACGAACTCAATAAATTCAAGGTAGCTCTCAGCAGCAGGTTCCAGGCTTTACAAGATCTACTCAAACAAGAGGAAAATACCGTAGAGAATAACTGGGAATAGATCGAAAAACAATAAACTCAAAGTGTCAGAAGGTGCTGGACTACAACAAGCAATATCATAAGGAATGAATCTCCATTGACATCCTGGAATAAGATTCAAGAAATGATGAACAAGAAGATAGCAATAAACAACAGCCCAACAAGTGTAGAGAAAGCCAAGGCATACGCCGAACACACAGAAGCAAACAAGCGAGGATCATTAGTGCCGACGAGCAGAAATACATGAAAGACCTAGCAATGACATCAGATTAAGTTGTAAGCGACTACTATATGATACAAAGAAGAAACTAGATGGAAAGTAAAACAAACCAGAGCGACCATTCAGGAACAAATAAGGCAGACCAACCACTGAGAATTAACAACAACAGGACAATTGAGCAGAACACTTTTAAGAACTCTTGAATAGACCAGCTCTACTGAACTCACTTAACATTAGAGTAGCACCTATAGACCTTCCTATCGATGTTGTCCCATCGACAATCAAACAAATCAGCATGGTTATTAGAAAAACCAAGAGTATCTAAGCATAGGAACTAGACAACTTACAAGATGAAGCACTGAATTCAGACATAGAAGTAACTTCAAAGATGCCCCACATTTTATTCAGAAAGATTTGGAGGAAGAACAAGTGCCGATAGACTAGAAAGAAGGATACATCACCAAGATACAAAAGAAAAGAGATCTGAGCAAGTGTGAGAACTATAAAGGCATCACACTACTATCAGTACCAGGGAAGGTTCCCAACAGAGTGTTACTGGACTGAATAAAAGATTCAGTAGACGTCCAACTGCGAGGTCAACGGCCTGGATTCTGTAAGGACCGGTCATGCACAGACCAAATCACTACAATATGGATCATTGTTGAGCAGTAAATAGGATGGAATTTGTCACTATACATCACCTTCCTTAACAATGAGAAGGCATTCGACAAATTGGATAGGAGAACATTAAGTAACCTTCTTCGATACTGTGGTATAGTTGAGAATATCGTCAACATCATACAGAATTCATGAGATGGGCTGTACTACAAATTGGTGCATAGAGGACAGCTGACAGACCCATTCATAGTAAAGACTGGTGTCAGTTAAGGCTGCTTATTCTTGCGCTCTTTCTCTTATTTGTTGGTTGACTGACTGGATTATGAAGACCTACATGGACAGCTTGGATGTGGCTAAAAAATTTGGACTTTGCAGATGATCTAGGTCTTCTCTCTCACACGGCAACAAATGTAGGTGAAGACAGTCAGTGTTGTAGCAACCTCTACAGCAGTAGATCTCAACATTCAAAAGGGTGAAATCATGATCCTGAAAGACAACAGAGCGAGCATCAACCAAATCACACTTGATGGAGAAGCTCTGGAAGAGATGGACGCCTTTACCTAGCTGAACAGCAACATTGATGAACAAAGCAGATCTGACGCAGATGTGAAGGCACTGGTTGACAATGCAAGCTTGGCACTCTTGTAAGTGAAGACCATATGAAACTAAAACCGACCGTCAGATAACATCAACGTAAGATTCTTCAATACAAACATCAAAACATTTCTGTTATAAGGAGCTTATACTTAGGGAACTACTACAACTATCATGAAAAGAGTGTAGATAATTATAAAAGGTTGTCTGCACAAAATACTCTAGGTCCATTGACCGTATACAACCAGCAACAACATGCTATAGCAGAGAACAAACCAGCTCCCAGTTGAAGAGGAAATTGAGAAAAGACGCTGTACGTTGATAGGACGCACACTACAGAAAGCGCAAAACTGCATCACACAGCAAGCCCTGACTTGGAACCCTCAAGGCGAAAGGAAAAGAGACAAACCTAAGAACACATGGTGCCGGGAATCGGATACAGACATCAAAAGAATCAATAGCGCTTGGGAACAACTGGAAAGGAGTGCTCAGGATAGAGTTGGTTGGTAAATCCTGGTTGGTGGCCTATGTTTTACGAGGGTTAACAGGCGTAAGTTAAGTGAAGTTATTACCATTTTTAGATAAAGAGCTCATGTAAATAGTAAAGTGAAGTTTTAGCACCATATTTACTCTTAAATCACTTTCTTCACACACATCCGATGAAAGATGTCACTCAGATCAGGCCATATTTAGTAAATACATTGTGAATATGACTGTCAAAATACGAATAGCCATTAAATTACCTTCATTCCGTCCTTCAGTGATACACTATCATAAAGATTTTGTGTACTACGCCCCATATGACTTTTGTAAGACAATTTATTTTCAGCTTTTGTTCCAACAGAATTTGTATGCAGCAAATGAGCATTTGATAGATTCATAGGGCTCTTAAAGCAGTTACATTGTAAAGATCTAGAAGTTGTTTGGTTTTTTACAGAAGATGGTCTTTGTGATGTAGCAGAGTTTCGACTCTTAGAATACTTTGTGTGTTGATTAGTACCAGTATCACCGCCTTTTGGTTCTGGAAGATTATGACATACATTATTATGATTTGACTGGATGAAAGTAGTCAATTTTTCTCGACATTGAGATATAGATTGATCCAGTTCTTTTTGGGCCTTTTGCCGTGAACAAACCCGTTCCATATGTCTACCGAAAATAGGCCATTGAGATAACTTTGTAACTTACATAAATATGATGACAATTCCATAGTGCTATTAAAAAATCATTTATTATAGAAAACTATGGAAATTTCTAAAGTGTTTTATTACAATGCTCAACAACATGAATAATTCGTTATGCTTTGCAGTGACTATTTAGCAGATGTTCTAAAACCCTTCAAAAACTTAAGGTTATCTGTCATTTTAAAATGGAAAATATGAGTCAAGTATTTTGAATCTAAAACTTTACCCTTTCTATGATGACGATAAAAGATGTAAAAGGTACACCGCCAGTAAGCACGCCAATGATCGAATGATGATATTATAATGGATTCAGACTGTCATAATGTTTAAGCGAATTTCCAAACGCTCCTAATCCTTTGTGATTCTATAAACATGATCCCATCTTTTAGTTAATTATTCTTTTCTGTTATTAAGTAAGTATAATTCCCGCCAGATATTGAGTAAACCTATTTCTCTAGAAAATTATTCATGGTCGTTTCGAACAACTAGGAATTTCATTTTCGGTCTTGACTAGTTTTACATACGTTCTGAATGATAGTCAAAATAACATTTAACTTAGTGGAAATTGTAGTAATTAATTAATTGAATTCATGAGTCGATGTAGGCTAGACCACCATTGAAATTCGATTTATCGAATTTTACGAAGTTAGGCAAAAAACGTTGAGTACTGTCCTTGAAGAATACTTGTCACAATCTTGGGATGTAGTAAATTAAAGGGTATAAACTGAGTTAAAACCATTTTAACCGATGATGTCTAATAATAAGGTTTTTTAAAGATGGGAAGTGTTTGAATCTGACTTTTGGTTTTAGACTTTTATAATTATAATTATATTCCTCTAATGGTGAAGGATTATATTTAGTTTTCGCTATCGAATTTCGACAGAATAAGACAAAATTTACCTAAATCATTATCAGATGCTTGACACTACAAAAACAGTTATTAAATTTGATATTTTGTAGCAAGTACTGGGGGGTTGTATAACACAAGAGAATTTTACTTGGTATGTGAATGCAAATTCTCTTCACTCAGGAACGTATGTCTGTTTGTAGTTATTGTAGATGAACCAGACCAATTTGACTGACCAAGTGAAGAATAATTGGATAATGTAGAATCAGATCGATTTCGAACACCTTTTAAGCCTGTAGATCGTTGAACACTACAATATTTCCTGAAGTTGACTGAATGCACTTCATCTTGTTCAGCCTCAGATAGGACACGACTAATATCCTTGACTAAAAAAGAAGAAAAATCAAGCTATTTTATACTAATATTGTCTACAAAACACCAATTAATTTTAAGAGGAATATGTATTTCACAAGTTGGAATCATGAGTCAATTAAAGCTAGACCACCATAAAAAACCTGGAAGCACTGGATGGCCGTTTCGTCCTAGTATGGGACTCCTCAGCAGTGTGCATCCACGATCCCGCACCCCGCGGGATTCGAACCCCTTTGGATGCCGGCTCAGTGGTCTAGTGGTTAAGTGCTCGTGCGCGAAGCCAGTAGGTCCTGAGTACGAATCCCGCGGGGTGCGGGATCGTGGATGCGCACTGCTGAGGAGTCCCATACTAGGACGAAACGGCCATCCAGTGCTTCCAGGTTTTCTATGGTGGTCTAGCTTCAATTGACTCATGACTTCAACTTGTGAAATTTCTAGAAAATCTCCACAAAACCCATTTTGAAAATATGTATTTAATGATGATATGATGAATAAATTAGTTCTCAAGTTTATATTACAAGGTAATCATTTAGCTCACTTTAAAAATTAAAATGAAAAGTTTTCTTTTTCTGTACGATAACCAAGAATTATGTAAGAATTCATTAAACGCACAAAATCAAATTTAAACCTAAAAAACGCTGAGAAATAGCTTACAGTTTTTTAAATACTTTGGAAAAGAAAACTGATATAAAACATACTTTGTCAGTAGGATTATTCTATAAGCAACACCATAATTAGTATCTTGTTTATAATAAACAAAACTAAGCCTACTGACATACAATTCAATAAATATTCTTTTCAAGCAAATTTCACTGAAAAATGTTTTTATAAATCATTAGTACATAAATGATATCTTACTTGATGCAAATGTGCTTTTAAAAGATCGCCAATCAACATTAGCAATTATTTTCAAGTTGGCCACAAAGTGAATTTTTAATGTTCGTTTTATTCTCAACATCATTCTCTGTGATTGAGAAAAACTATAGACTAGGACAATAATAAATTCTATCACTGTATATCCATCTAGTATTAGGCACCGAAGTTATGTGAGACCTTAAAAGTCATATATTGTATTCCATTCACTTCATGGTTTAATGTTTCTCATATAGTATAAACCATTTATATTCACACAAACAAGTAGGAGTTTTGCACTTAAAAAATATTTTCATATTGCTTTCCTTCACTTTATGTTTGTCATCTTAATCAAACGATTTTCCCAATTAAAGCTATATGCACAAGATTTCGATTTACTAATTCCACTAAAATTTTTCATCTGATTTTCTTCGTAAATGATTAGTGTTGATGACTGGTTGTTTAGTTGATTATTTCCTTTCGATAATCGATCTGCATTGAGTGTAGTATAGCCTAACAGCCTGTTCCATTTTTTTATAACTCCATCCCATCTAACTGTTTTATTTATTAAACTACATAGAGGAACTCATATCCTTTCTCAATTTATTCAACAGTTTAATCTTGAAACTCTATAATTATTTTACTAGGCTTTTGTTAGGTTCGTTAAGCTTGAATGCTACTACTGATTCGGCTTATTCGGAACGGAACAAAGGATCAAGGATTCAGAGACTCAATAGGCTATTCTGGCCCGTTGTCCCCGACTCAGCTAACTCGATCAAGAAGTCTTGGTAAGACGTAGAAGTGTATTCTACAGGCAACCAGCAGATATCAGGTCAGGTCAATCAGGCACACTAATCAAGCGTATTTATAAAAATATTTATAATTGATATTGTCATGGTAAAATTTTTTAAACATTACCCAATAAGTTCATCAATCGACTTCCATTCAAATATTTAATTGATAAGTTCGTCAACTGACTGCTATTTAAACATTTAATCGATAAGTTAATCGATATGATAAAATCACAAAATATGAGTTTGGGGGATCTAGCATCCCCAACAGCTTTATTCAAGAATTACTTCTTTAATTATCTATAATTATTTTTGTAGACTATTTTAAGTTAGTGTTGAGGCATGAGGAATAGCAAGGCATACAATTTTCTTCACTCAGTATGACTTTTAAATTCAAAATTTATTTATTTCATTAGATGGATTGTGAAAGACAATTAGAGTATACTGACTGATGGAAATTAAAACACTAGTTCAGTTCTGTCAACGATTTATATTCCTGACTGTGATTAATAAAAGCATAACTCCTCCTGTAGCTCTTCTAGAGATACTGCTGGTTCCAAACCCGGGTAAAGGAGGAGGATTGAGCAAGGGGTTAGCGTCCCCATCCGCTACAAAACTAACTCGCTAAAAATAACGCTAACCAGAAAAAATAATTCAAACCATTTAAACTCTCCCCTGGGAGCTAGAAGGTCTTCATTTCGAAGAAATATGATGCCTCATGGTGAAAGCCGAGTTCCTTCGGAAGCCACAACCAACAACCAGAGCAACAATTTTTATAGGTACATGGGATATCCGGACAATGTGGGAGACCGGGACGACCAATCAAATAGCAACGGAAATGAGGAGATACAACTTGGCAGTACTGGGAATCAGCGAAACCCACTGGACCCAAGCTGGACAGAAAAGGCTAAATACGGGAGAGATGCTGCTATACTCCGGTAACGAAGAGGAAAATGCTCCACACACTCAGGGAGTTGCTCTAATGCTGTCCAAAGTAGCACGAAATGCACTTGTAGGATGGAAATCTCACGGATCCAGAATCATCAAAGCATCATTCAAAACAAAGAAGGAGGGGATCAATGTTATGCACTCACCAATGATAGCAACGACGACATTAAAGATCAATTCTACGAGCGGCTGCAGTCAGTCATAGAGAAATGCCCAAGAAAGGACCTCACCATTCTAATGGGAGATCTAAATGCCAAAGTCGGAATAGACAACACCCGGATATGAAGATATCATGGGACGACATGGACTGTGAGAGAGAAAAGAAAATGGGGAAGGATTTGCAAGTCTGTGTGCATTCAACAAATTGGTCATAGGCGGCACAATATTTCCACACAAACGTATACACAAAGCTATATGGATCTCACCGAACCACACCACAGAGAATCAAATAGATCATATTTGCATACATAAAAAGCTCCGAAGGACAACGGAAGATGTGAGAACCAGGAGAGGAGCTGACATAGCTTCAGATCACCACCTAGTTGTGGTCAATTTAAAACTGAAGCTAAAAAAAAACTGGACAACTGGATAAACAGCATTAAAAAGGTTCAATACAGCCTTCCATCGAGATATTGACAAACTCAACCAATTCAAGATAACTCTCAACAATAGGTTCCACGCCTTGCAGGATCCACTGAAAGAAGAAAAAACTACTATAGAGGACAACTGGAAAGGGATCAAAGAAGCATTAACTTCAACGTGTCAAGAGGTGCTTGGCCGAAAGAAGTATCATCATAAGGAATGGATCTCCATCGGAACCCTGTACAAGATTCAAAAAAAAGAACAAGAAAACAGCAACTAACAACAGCTGAGCCAGAACAGAGAAAGTTCAAGAACAAGCTGAGTACATAGAAACAAACAAGCAAGTGAAGAAGAGCATTAGAGTCGACAAGCAGAAATACGTGGAAGAACTAGCAACGACGGCAGAAAAAGCTGCAAGAGAAGGAAATATGAAACAGCTTTACGATACAACGAAGAAACTAGCAGGAAAATATAGTAAACCAGAGAGACCGGTCAAGGACAAAGAAGGCAGGCCAATCACTGAAATTCAACAACAGAGGAACAGATGGGTAGAGTATTTCTGAATAGGCCGGCTCCAATGAACCCACCGGACATCGAAGCAGCACACACAGATCTTTCTATAGATGTCAATCCACCAATGACGGAAGAAATCAGAATGGCCATCAGACAAATCAAGAGCGGAAGAGCAGCAGGACTTGACAACATACCAGCTGAAGCACTGAAGTCAGACATCAAAGTAACTACAAACATGCTTTACCCTCTATTCAAAACGATTTGGGAGGAGGAACAAGTGTCGATTGACTGGAAAGAAGAACACGTCATCAAAATACCGAAGAACCGAGATCTGAGCAAATATGAAAACTATGGAGGAATCACACTACTATCAGTACCAGGCAAAGTTACTAACAGAGTGTTGCTGAACCGGATAAAAGATTCAGTAGACACTCAACTTCGAGATCAACAGACTGGATTATGTGAGGATCGGCCGTGCACAGACCAAATCGCATCACTACGGATCATCGTCGAACAATCAATTGAATGGAATTCGTCACTATACATCAACTTCCTTGATTATGAGAAAACATTTGACAGTGTGGATAGGAGAACCTTATGGAAACACCTACGACATTATGGTGAACCCGAGAAGATCGTCAACATCACCCGGAATTCATACGACGGACTACACTGCAATGTGGTGCATGGAGGACAGCTGACAAATGCATTCCAAGTGAGGAACGGAGTCAGAAAAGGCTGCTTGCTGCCTCCCTTCCTCTTTCTTCTGGTAGTTGGCTGGATTGTGAAGAGCTCGACATCAGGTGGGAAGCACGGAATAAAATGGACAAGTTGGGTGGAACTAGACGATTTGGATTTCGTAGATGACCTGGTTCTTCTGTCCTATGCACAAGAACAAATGCAGATGGAGACAACTAGTGTGGCAGCAGCCTCTGCATCAGTAGGCCTCACCGTACACAAGGGGAAAAGCAGGATCCTTAAATATAACACAGAGAACACCAACTCAACCTCACTTGGTTGAGAATCTCTGGAAGATGTGGAAACATTTACGTATCTGGGAAGCAGCGCCGATGAACGAGGAGGTTCAAATCCAGACGTAAATGAGAGAATTGGCAAAGTAAGAGCCTCATCCCTTCAATTGAAGAACATATGGAACTCAAAACAACTTTCAACCAATATCGAAGTCAGAATCTTCAATAAGAACGTCAAGGCAGTCCTAGTGTATGAAGCTGAGACGTGAAGAACTACTACAACCATCATCAAAAAGATACAAGTATTTGTAAACAGTTGTCTACGCAAGGTAATCAGTGTCCGTTGACCGGATACCATCAACAACAGTCTACTGTGGGAGAGAACAAACCTGTTTCAATCAGAAGAGGAAATTAGGAAAAGACGATGGAAATGGATAGGACATACACTACGCAAATCAACAAACTGCATCATGAGGCAAGCCCTAACTTGGAATCGTGAAGGGAGACGGAGAAGTGGAAGGCAAAAGAACACATTATGTCAGGAAATAGAAGCAAATATGGAAAGGGTGAATAACAAATGGAAAGAGCTGGAAAGGATTGCCCAGGAAAGGGTTGGATGGAGAATGCTGGTGAGCGGCCTATGCTCCTTCTCGTGGAGTAACAGGCGTAAGTAAGTAGGTAAGTAAGTAAGTAAAGCATCTTTAAGATAAAATTATTTACTCAGTTATCAGTTCGTTAATATAGTAGGACTAAAAATGATACCATAGTTTTTTCTAACCAGTTGAAAGACTTTTATTATTATTATTATTATTATTATTGTTATTATTATTATCTGAAATATGACAAAATATGGATGCTGAATCACAACAGAATCTAGATACTGTTCAAATATTCAGATCGATCTTCGTTATTCAGTAGATCAAAAATATATTTCAAAAATGTAAAACTGACTTCATTTGAAAAGTTCAAGTACAGTGGCAACCTATCAAATTTCAATACTGTAAAAAAATGATAACACAGTAAACAACAGTAGCACAATACAACACAACCTGACTTCACACCGATTATTCAGTAATTTAAATGCGATAAAGGTTACAGTAGTCATAATAATCATAAGTTAAGATTGTTTTTAATTTGCACATCGTGGAGAAGTCTAATTAAATCCCTCATGACTATGTGTTTTCACGAATGTAACGTTATTTTTAAGGACTTTCAGAAAACGATGGATGATAAGAGCAGAAAATAGAAGTGATTATTGATTCATTTACTCCCTCTAAGAAATCAGTATTCTAGCGTAAATAGAGAGTAACAAGTGAAAAAGTGGTTAGAAAATCGTGATCATCTCTAGCAATCCTAAACTTCACTGAGAATTCAATAAATTAAATATATTTCTAAAAAGAACCCGACACACTACCTTAGGCGATGCAGAATATACATACTTTTGTACATGAATACACTTCACAAAAATATTCATGCTCAACGAAATGGTTAACTCACACCTATTTGTGAGAAATGAGAATCAACTGAAAGGTATACTAAAGATTCCCATTGTGAAAATTAGAACAACACATATAAGCGAACAATTGTTTTCAATTAGATCGTCATCAGGCTTTACTCTAATATACATGAATATTTATACGAAAATTTTAAACCAATCAAGGCAATATGAGTCAATAATCACAATGAAATAGAATAAGTCACTACACATAAAATAGGTAAAAGTACAAGTTGATAGTACGAAGACAGGTGAACAGATAGTGGTAAGAATAATAAACTACAATAACAAAACTCTTATCAATAGTTAAACGTTGGAAATAGAAGGTCAAATAAACATGGGTAAATAGACTAGGAATAGTAATCACAAAACCTTAAAAATCATTACGTAATAAGATGTGTGTAAATAATTAGATAGTGAAGAATACAAAGAGGCGGATAATGACAAACAAATAATGGATGTGGAAATAAGGTTAACAATAACACAGATAGAATAAAATAAATAATGATAATAATAAAATTTATTAAAAAAAAATATTAAAAAAAATTGTTAGTTAAGTTATAACTGGCCATGGAAGGGATAGGGGAGTCACGTATTTCTTCTGTACACATAGATTGGGGTTATATGTACGAATTCCAATGGAGACGGGAACGGACTCCGTCGGGAAATGATGGAGGTATACGATAGATAACTCGAAATGATTTCGATTTCTCTACTGCATGACCGCTATCAATAAGATGTGCTAGTATAGAACTGCGAATAGTTTTTCTCTGACCCTTTATGTACCAAGTTGGTAGATGTTCACTCATTCGTTGGTTAAGTTGCCTGGTAGTACGCCCTATATAGCTATCTCCACAGGAGCAGCTGAATTTGTAAATGCACATGGAAGAGGCCAACTCAGGTAACTTATCCTTCGTTTGAGTAGACATCGCTGGTCGACAAGAGAAGGTCAACGCAAGATTGGCTGCGTAGAATGTCTTGGTGATTACTCTGGTTAACCTATATTTCAGAGTGTCACTAGCCACATCCCCGTTGAATTGCACTTTCATGTATAAAGGTTTCTTACGAACAGTCGAAATCTCCGACTTCTTTATTATATCCTGCATGCATGGTTTAAAAAAATTTTCGTATAAATATTCATGTATATTAGAGTAAAGCCTGATGACGATCTAATTGAAAACAATTGTTCGCTTATATGTGTTGTTCTGAAAGGTATACAAAAATAATCAGATTAATCAGTCCTCGTATTTATCCACAGAATCGCTACTCAATACGAAATAAGTAATGAACCTTTTTTTGTTATCTAAAGAAAAGTTTTCAGACCATCCAGTGCATACACAAACATCAAAATCCGAAATAGTTAATAACTGGATTAACCCACCCATTTCAGACCATGTAGTTGGAATGGGACACTTCTGCAAGGAAACCTGTTTTGAGACATTCGTTGGGCAATAATTTAAGAATTCCACACTTTCTAGCTGTTTTAATTCCTGAAGTATGTTATCTACAGCTGACATATTCTTTTCCCCAGATACATTTTTTTGTTGACCAAGTGCCCTGTTATTTCCATCTTTCCGTAGACCGCAAAACTCAGTCTGACAGAGACTGCTGTTCTCCCTACAGACTTGTTCAATTTCATTGTGTACATTTTGTTCTGTAGTCTAACATAAAATGAACAAAGTAATAATATTAGTAAGCAACCCCTCATGCACACAAAGAGCAGGTCAATTATCATAGGTAGATATGCTTAGAGTAATCGCGATAAATAAGCTTCTGTATACTGTACTGTTTTTATTTGAATAAACCTGAAAACAAATTTTCACTACCACGATGAAAGCTAGAATTTTCATAAACGATGGTGTTTTAACAAAAAAATTGTTAAGTATACTCAGACCTGTGCTAATAAGTGAGAAGCAATGGTATTTCAAGCAATCATGCTGATTTGTGCAGCATCCAGTAATTACATAGCCGTTTAACACCAGCAATAAACAATACAAACTTCATGATAGACTAGTTTCTGATTTTTGCAGGATAAACAGTCTTCATGAAATTTTTAAAAACCATGTATAATTCTGATATTAGGGATTTGAGACAGTCAGTGGTAATCCTTTGGACCTAGGTTTGTGATAACTAACACTCTTTAGTACAGCATATTCACTATTTAGGAGAGGGGCCTGATACTCATGGTATCCGGACCCTCAACCTAATAAGCGCTAAGGACTAGGCAGACGTGAAATCAACCAATGCTCAGCGATGAATCAATGTCGGTGTTTGAGCCCTACATAGGTCACTCGAAAACAGAACTCCACAGTCTAAGAAACGTAAAGGTCCGTGGAGCATCAATTCCCTCAAGATTGTTAGTATCCCTTCGTGATAAGCTCGAAATAGTGTTATATCTCGGTACATGGTTCCCCTGGACTATCTTCAACAACCTAACATCAAAAATGTGCACACGGTGTCAAGCCGCCTGGACAAGTGAACACATCCCAATTTAATCAGTAAACTCTCTCAGCATTATCGACTAAACAAACATAAAACTGACTACGAATTAGTGATCAATCGGTGAATATTAGATTAATGTAACTATAAACCATAATTTCTATCTGATGACCTAAAGCTGAATATTGTAGCTTTGATTCAACTGAAGGTGATTCGGATCTGAAAAGGAACAGAAGTATCGGAATAATGATAAATCAGATAAATACTCCCTAACTTTGTTCAGCGAATGTATATGAAGACAAAATACGACTAAACTGAAAAAAGAACATGAACTAAGTAGCTAAATTAGCAGTCACTTTTAATCCATGATCACGAAATACGTTACAGATAAATTAGGAAATAAGAATAGTATCTTCACGCATTAATAATGGGAGGCCTGTGTTTGGTTTCGAAAACGTATACCATCTGGCATTCAGTTTTTCCACTATCTGGTTACTCTAATCAGTCTTTTTAGGTATCATTACCAAGGTTTGACTTAATAATTTCGAATAAATTGAGCCTTGAGTAGATTGTTATAGATAAATTAATATATTTGTAATATCCCAAAGAGTAGAAATATTAAATTTTCTGACGTTTCGTATTTAATCAGTCTTGTTTCGAAAAGTCAGTTGACTGATTGTTATCCTAGCATCTTAGTTGTTCTGACACAGTTTAGGACTGTATTCTGAGATGGCTGTACAACCGTGTTCATTGATAATGAAAATCTTAAACTTTACCGAATATTCGTCATTTACTGAACTAAAAATGACTAAACTGAAGTGGAAGTGAGTGGGATTTTAAGTTATTCTATAAAGTATAAATATTATACACCATACAAACGCAAGAATTCGGTATTACAAATTGATCAATCTGTCTTCTCTCAAGTAATATTAATTTGGTATAGGTGTAGAAACCAGTTAAATAGCAGTTCATATGCTTGAAAATCCGTTTGATATCACACTACGTAATACTACCTACGTTCAGAAATTGATTTGAGCCTGTATTTAAATCACTAACATATTAATTAATGACCTGATATTCTGCTAAATAAGACATTATGTTCAAATAGAGTATATTATCTGTGCTTCTTAAATGATACAGACCTAACAAATAAAAAAGGATCGGACAAAAATCAATGGTAGGAGTTATGTGTAATATGAGGATAACTACCAAATTATAGTAGTCACAAGTGTCATCAAATTATGATGTAAAACAAGAATTTTTAAATTCTCTCAGATGAAAAAATGAAAGTTTAAGTAAATCACGGAGTTTACATTAATTATTGACTCACTGTGGTAATATGAATATCAGAGCTGTAAGTTTTACATTGATTAGCATTGGTATTAGATATAGGCTTATTCAAAATGTTTGATTTGTCTTCATTTGTACGGTCCTTTCGGTTACCAGATACAAGAATTGATTCAGACACATCATTTACTTCTGCCTTATCCTCTAAAGTTTCTTGACTTTGCGAACTTTTAGAGGATCGATTCTCCTGCAAAATCTTAAGATTAATAATGAATGAGTTTACCAAAGTGTGGTTTAAAAGGAAAATTACCAATCATCGATCATATAAACGAATAGTTCAATACCATAACTTGTTTTATTCTAGCACTTTAAAACTCTAACTTGAAGAATAATTATTAACCAAAGACTGGAAAGTAACAAAAACATTATCAATGTAGGGTTGTGGAGATTATTGAGCTTTTACGAAGATTATAAACCGATAATGTTAGACCATCACTGAAAGCTTGTGAGCGCTGTAAGGCCGTTTCGTCCAAGTTTAGGACTCCTCAGAAGTGCTCATCCACGATCCTGCATGCGGGATTCGAACTCATGTTCGTGATCTCAATTAATAAGCATCATTCACAATTCAAATAACTAGCTAAAATGTTTTCTATTATTTAAACGTTTTTCCAACCGTTTCATTAGATTTAATTGATTATCAACTGCGATTACTTAAGACGATAAAAATATGTATTTTTTTTAGTTATTTTGGACAATTAAACCATTCTTTTAATGCAATCCAGTAAACTTATTATTCGTTAACATTGTGCTATTTGTATTTGTTTTCGTGAATATTCAAAAGTTTGTTCTGTAAGTGGTGAGTGTTGCAATATGACAAAGATTTGTTAAGTAAGATTTAGACCTAGTAAACATGGATAAAACCGCTTGAAGTAATTTATGAATAATTAACTGCTCTTTCTGAATAAGACATTTGATAAAGCCTAAAGTAAATAGTCATTGGGGAAAATGACGAGCATATAAACGGTAAAATATAAAAAGTCAAATAAGTAGGCAATTATTTAGTTCATACTATATGTTCGTTGTTCGTTTTATTTTGGTTGAATCCATATATATTTAACATGTTACCACTGACAAAGCATTGAAATAAAAATTTATGTTCCTAAAACTTCTATTAAAATATGGTTTATAAGAAAGATATGACGTTTAAAATTTTATCCACCGAGAATTATTTTGGAACTACAAAATCGAATGACGCAAAATGATACAGTGTAAAACACTAATGAATCTTAACAAATCCATAGAACGTAAATGAATTATTTTGATGATTACTCTAAAATGGTACTTGAATTTACTTTTAATAAAGTTTCTGTTTTTCAAAACGAACTGAGTGGTGTCACATTGATTTCACGCACGTATTACATATATTGTAAAATTGGTCATAAATATTTTATTGTCATAATTATCTGACCGATAACACACTTTCGAAAAGAACACCACTTATTGTGAAACGTCTTCCATTTTTAAATTCAGAAGTCTTAGTTACTTATTTATTGAACTTGTGTGTGACTTTCCTGTAGACCTATGATAAATTACAATTGACGTATTCGAGTGTAGAAGAAACTCGAATCTAATTTCATTTCAGGTTTGGTCAAATGAATATTTTGATATTGCTAAACCAGCAGTTATTAACAGATAAAAGCAGATATGTCCCTGTACGTAAATGGTAAAATCAACATTTTAACAATCAAAACATTGCTTTTAACTAAAGAAAACCAACTTTAATAGCATTTTGGTGTTGTTGTTTCCTTTTCTGTTTTAACTCATTTTGACGACTTTGTAGAACTGAATGAATGGGTCGTCCATTATTCATGTTCTGTTTACTTAATCTGCGTTTTTGATTGTCAAGCAGACGATACATTACGGCTTCCGCTGCTAAATATCTTCTCCTATGAAGTCTCCAAAACTTTTGTATAACAGTCGCTGCGGAATTACGTCGATTGTCATCATACGAAGTTGAGGTTATCAGTTTTACTAGAAAATAAATGTAGGTGAAACACAAAGTCCTATCTGAAACAACTAAATATTTTCTATATAAGGCTAATGGTCGAATAATGAGAAAGTTTTAAACCAGGATCTAGCTGTCTATCATTAGATTGTCGAAAACAAATGTGTCAGTGACAATAAATTTTTATTTCCTTCATAAATTTCATCAAATTTTACTAGAGACGATTAAGATATCATTCAAAAGTATACCGGTGACCATTAATCCCTTCAACAGATCAGTTTTATAGTAATAAGCTTTCTGAATGTAAACGTTTTTTTAGTTACTACTGAGTTCGAAAGATCAACTTCACATCTTCCAATTATTTTAGCAAAAACTAATGTGATGTGTGCTACTTATATTGACATAAGTAGTATATCATGTTAGTCGTGAACAGAAGGTCTGGCAGCAGAGAAACAAGAGGATCGAATAGTAAGGAACAGAAACAGGTTGTAATTTGTATGAAAATGCTAGAGCAATGAAGTCTGAGTGATTTTGAGACAATCGATGGACATTTTGCAAATTAAGCATTTACTTTATGATTGTTAGATTTTATTAACAAGTCCTGTAATGCTGTGTCAGATACATTCGATTGTCCCCACTGGTGTTCTTGTTCACTACACTAATACAACAAAAGGATCGAAGTATGTATTTCAGATCGATAACGAATATACTAAACAACTCAGCCTATAAACGACATCCCAGAGTTAACACTGAACTTTCCTTGTTATCACAGGCTATTTTGTAATTATTCACTGGCATGAAAGTACAAATTCTTCAGCTTTCTATGTTGGTATAAGCTTTTTTTTCTTTTGAAGCATTTAGTATTGCAGGATAATTTTAGATAAAATTTTCAGCTGTTCATTAATTGCAATACAAAATACTGAACAAAATTACATTGTTATTCTGAAAACTTAAATTTTTTTAAAATACCAAGTTCGAACTACTGCGTAAAATAACACGGGAGATAAACGCAGAAATCTACTAAATAAATTTGAAAACTAAACGAAAAGGCTTTCATTTTGAGCAACTAGAGACAAAATACGTGAATTAACAACCTAATTTTAAACTAAACTTCAACTAAAGAGAAAATCCTTAAATAATTAAGGGATTAAACAAAAGTCTCTAAAAGTCAATAAAATATATAATCACACGACAAAATATTAATACATTCATTTTCGAAAAAGATCATCTGTCTAAACTTACATTCATCATTGAAACCACTTATCTGGCGTGCAGTGTTGACTGAATTAGATGAAGGTCTGACTAAACATGGAGGTGGAGTATCTGTTTTCTCATTGATATCTGTGTATTGTAAATCACCATCATCACCTGAAACTTCGTTCAAATCTATACAGATATTTCCTAATCTTGGATTTATATTCAAGTCTAAACTATCCCCTATCGTGTCCAAATTTTGTCCACATTTGAAGTCCTCACCTTTTTTGTCTGAGCATGGTGTCAATATATCATTCTAACAAAGTAATTGATAATCAAACAAAGAAGGTTATTAAGTACTCGAGAATATCATGACATAAAAAATCTTTTATAATACTCAGCATAAAGAGTACATGTAAATTTTCCGTTGAGTCGGTCGGTCACAACGTCGAAGCCGTACTTATTCACACATGTTCAAAGTGCCCCACTCCATTAGCACACGGAGTTATAACTGTCAGGGCAAATCGCAGAATAGTAAAGGTAGTGGAGTGAACGAGAACAACAGTGAGGACAACCAAATGCATTTAGACGGACAACTACAGAATTTCTTAATCAAATCTGTGAACCACACAGTAAATACTTCATTTGCAAAATGTCAATCAATTATCCCAGACATGGTTGTTACTTCGTTTCCACACCAATCATTCTATGTTTTCATCTTCTTCTCTTTTTGAAATTCTTAACCTTATGCCGCTAGGCATTTCATTTTCAATTGATGATACATATTAATTATATTTGTCGACATCAGTAGCACACACCACAGTAGTAATATTATCAGTGATTATAGGAAAGATTACGCCACGTTTTGGTTTGGTGGCCCCTAGCTTTCTTCCAGCATGTATTTTAACTACCCAATGGAACTAATCGCTCCTGTAAAAAGCTTACAACCTATCATGAAGCTAAATGCAGTGGAATTCAGGCGAAACCATCACGGTGGTTGGTACTTTTTAACTGCCTGTACTTTGTAGGGACGAGGCCCGAATACACTGGAACTCATCTGCCAAATCTAGAATGCGATGAAAAAATTCCATAAGACCTAAACTGATCATAAAGTTCGTGGATAAATACGATCGAAGGATGACAACCGTTGAAAATGTCTTTTGCATATTTACTCGAATATTTGCGAGTTAAACAAATACAGGCGAAGACTATGTTGCAGTACTGCACGCAATAAGCTAAGAATTCTTAACTGTGACCAAACTTATGGTATGTGATAAGGTGAATATAATTATCATTATTTTTAACAAGCAAGAACGGGTCAACGTATCATGATGAATGTCATTTCAAAACCATACGAATTGGGAATACTTACAGATATTTAGTCACAAATGTATTAATGTGGCAATTATTAGTTTATGAAATAAAAATGTAAATGATAATAAGCTGTAAGTTTTGAATGATGTGATAATCTTCACCATTACACAATCAAAATAATTCAATTATACACAATGCTTCAGCTGTACCATATATATTGGGAACAGATTACTGTTAAATAGATGTCTCCTACCATCTTGTAAAACATAATCAGCAAGTCACTAGGTGGAACTTGTACGTATTTACACGGGTTCAAGTTGCCATACCCCATTAACACACGGAGTTATGACTGTCAGGACGAATCCCAGAATAGTAGAGGTAGTAACAGTATCAGTGGTTACACCAGATTTTGGTTTGGTGGCCCCTAGCTTTCTTCCAGAATGCTCCTACAATCGAAAATATCGCCTGTCGAGGTAAGAGGTGGTTGGGCATACGTGACACATCCAAACCACCTCAGTTGATAAAGATTTACTGCCTCATCAATCGATTTCTCATCTTTAACTAGTACTGTATTCCTAACGCAGGCATTGCTTACTCCGTGGTCCCAAAATACTCCGCCAATGCCTCGTAGGCACCTACGATTGAACACCAGTAACCAACGAATATCCTCTAATATTAATGGCCATGTTTCACATCCATTAAATAGAACAGAGCAAACTGCTGCGCAGTAAACTTCCCCTCTTTTTGAAAGACGGATCTCTCACCTACGCCACATGTGATGCAAGTCGGAGAAAACCAATCGAGCCTTCTTACTCCATGTCGAGATTTTGTCAGACACCAGACCATCAGTACTCATGAAACTCCCAAGATAAGTGAAGCGGTTTACGTGTTCAACTACTTCAGTCTCTATCACTCATTCAGACGATGACGCAAGTCGATCCTGAAGTAACTGAGATGTGGTTGAAGGCCAGTTAAACTATTCCGTAAAGAGTTCCGACCATCAGTTCAAGCTCCTGGATTGAGAGTGAATAATAGTCCCATATTTTCCAAGACAGTTTCACCAACAACTACATCTAAATACTCGTTTCCTTCATAATTCTGAACAGTTGTCTACTTTTACCTATCACTGCTGACTTTTCCATCTCTTCTGCATTCGCTACTCACCACTGCTAACGATCATTACGTAGGTTTTTTATCGGCCTACATTTAACGTGTTCCGCTTTTGAACTTAATGCCATATCTACACCTACGAAGCCATGGGAAGTAGCATTGGGGTCTCCAGATACTCGAAGAGTAAGTCATGCCAGTCCTTTATATTGGCAAGGTGAGGTCAAATGAATGACCATATGATGTGTGGGCGAGGATGGTAATGACTGGTTGTTTGCTTAGTTAGACTAGTAGATAGTCTGACAGGTACTAGATGAGTTATATATTCTATTACCCTTATTATTACTGTGATTGATGAAGGATTGCTGTCGGTTTTTGGCATGGAAATATATTCGCGTTCTAGTCAAGCTTATCGCGTGTTCTTGGTCTGAGTTGTGTTAAAGTCCTATAAAACAGACGCTGAGAGGGAATCTAGTGTAGATATTCGTCTAAGGCAAATTAACGTCCCATCCGTGTAGACGAGCAATCCTACCGTTACAACACTGTACGTGGATCCTGTATCCGCATTTTGGAAACGCAGCACATATCGATGACGCGAGGTTCTTGAGTTCTATTTAAACAAGCCTGTGTTCCTGTCTGACACAAGGTTCGAACATTAAAAGCTCCAACATGCAGTTTCGAGCGTGGTTTCAAAAAACTGGAAATAATATTTCGTTAACTCAAATCATTCACACTGGTGGCGCGTGGTGATACAGATCAATCAAAGGGGTTAGTCACGGAGATAGAAGAACTATTAAGAGGTGAGAGAGCGATTCAATCGTCAACAAGATGATCTTGGATGCTGATAGAAGCATGAGTGTGGTCGTCACTTCCCGATTGCACAAATCGTGGGAGGACATTTATTCTTGAGGGATTTGAGAAAGAAGCTGAATTAGTGGCGAGTTAGCTCCACACTTCTAATAGCCTCACTGCCGGAGACGGAAATCCGTGGGGTAAGGTGAGGTGTGACATTTCTAGAATCGACCTTATCTAACCCCTCCTCCGTTGTGAAAAGGCACCATTGCTAGATGTTATTTGAAGCATTATTTATTAAATATTAGTATTAGCTACAACATTTAACTAGGAAAGATGAAAAATCTTACAAACAAGAGTCACTTTAACATCATTTTATCACACACGTATTCGGTTTTTGAGACCTTGACAGATTAACAGTAAGAAATATATTTATCTTATGGAAAAACAGTCAAGACTACCCTGATACTTTTTATCATGTTTCAACTGTTATTTTGAATAAAATCGTGAAATTCATGATAAATATGAGCATTCACAAATTCTATATTCCTTCATCTTTACAAATAGTTAAAAACACAAATACCTATATCTATATTGCTCATTTCTTTACAGAATTCATACACGTTTACTGAGAGTATAGTAAACAAATTATTTGAAAAATGGATTTCTAGACGATCCGAATTAAGAAATTTAATTAAATAAATAATTATTATTTTAACGACTGAAATTCTTATCTTCTAAAGTGTTCACGGATTATAAACGGAGAAATTTACTTGGCTTCTTAATTTAAAATTAAGATTTGATTAAATATTCTATTTGATAAATCACCATAATCTAGAGTCTCTCAAAAGTGACATCAACACTTAGTGTCCCGAAAAGCTTTGAGAGAGATATAAAATCTTGCAGCATGAGCAATGAAGTTTCCCGGATTTATAACAGTCAAGATATTGATTGGTTTATAGGAATACAGAATTCTAGACATTTGAAGAAAGATACAAATCTAATTTCTCCATCTCGTAAATTTAAGGAATATGATTGTCCGATTAAAGTTTTTATTAAAAGTACTTTGCAAGAGATAATACGGACTTTTTGTCTCCAAAAAACATTGGGAATAATGAAATAAGTAACTATGAATCATGTCAATTAATATAGTGAGAAAAAGCCTTTGAATCACGACGGACTTTGACAAGAAATACTTTATCTTTTAGTATTCAACACTTCTGAAATCGAGGAAAGAAATATCTTACTGTTTAACAGCAATCAAGCCGTGTTCAAAAAGTTTTGCTACCGAAAAACAAAACTGTATGGATAAATATAAGATTAACACTATGAAATCATAAGGACATAACACGTTAATATGGTGTTACAGTTAGGTTAATTACCATTTCTACCACTTTAATTCGGTTGCTCTTTGTTTTGTGAAAACTGTAAGGTTGTCATGTAGTACTTAAAAATGTTTTATACAGTATAAATGAGTTTTGGTCTTTCACTTGTTCTTCTGGGAAGAAATTAAGCTATTTACATATTTTTTCAACCTTTACTCAAAGCACTTATTTCTCCGTTTTTGAATAGAACTATTAAGTTCTTTCCTTATACATTAGATTCACATTGAGGTTACGAACGAATATATATTGTAGCGATTCTTAATTTGCAGTATAACAGGGCCAGAACGCTTATTAATCAACGGCAAAGTAAAGTATCAGGTCCGTTTTAATAAGTTCCATTTACAGTTTGACATGTCATCACCAAAAGTGTCAAAACTTACTGCTTACAAAAAAAATTAAAGGCTGTGGCTATACTAGAGTTATAACCAGAAATCAGATAGAACTTTTCATAAAGATACAGATTTTTGAAAGCTCATAAAACGATGCCCTTCATAAAATTACCTCCCAAGAGCAATATTTTTTATATTAGTTTTTTGGAAAATTTACCAAGTTTGTTGGATGTGTGTGACGAAGTGGTTCACAGTATACACAAAAATTATCGTTTGCCAACATTCAGTTGTGTGCACAGAGTAGTGTAGTGACTTTGTCAACGTCTCAAGAAATTATACTTATCAAAACGTACAAGAAGCCTAAAATCTATGCACGTTTTTATTTTAAAATATCACCTCTTTGGCATTTATGAGTGGCCATAGTTCAATCAAACTTTCACTGACAACTAAAATATTGTGAAATAGGAACCAAAATCCAAAATCGTTGATAAATCTAACCCAACATTATTTTACGATAAATTAGGCTCTTTGAGCGAGGCAGTAATTTGCTTAGATCAAGCAGAAGGCCTCAGTTATTATAATGTCTTTGTATAAGCAATCAAATGCAAAATGAAATTAAACTGCGTTGACAAAACAGCCTTCTAGTGCTTCTGGGTTTTCAATGATGGTCCAACACCGATCGGTTCATGACCCCAGTAAAAACTCAACAGTCTATACAACCATATACTGAAAATATTTTTAGTTCAGATAGATAGATTTCCACTTACGTCATGTTGACCGTCCCATATAAAATCACTATCGTTTTGGTCATGAAAATGTGTTTCCAGCCATCTTGAAACACTTTTATCATTTGAGTTACTCGACCACGAACTACATTTGTCTCTCCTAAATGTTAATGAATCGGTGTGAATTGTGTTATTGAAATCGATGAGCGGGTTTTCATCGTCGTTAGTAATTAAATTGTCAGGGGATTCCAACTTCTGTCCAACCAATGGTTCTGAAGTACTAGAAGAAACTTCTGGGCCTCGAAAAGGATTTTTATTGCTTCTAATAATCTCTCTCACACTTCTTGTTCGAGAGCTGTCCTAAAGTAAAAATTTTAAACTTATTATTTAATGAAATAATATTCAAATATAGATGTTTATGTGCATAGGACAGTCACCAGTTATAGTTTTATGTATAACATTCTACGTCATACTTCATTCGGACTTCTCACACTTCATGTACTTTTAGTTCGTTGAAACATATAGTTCACTTGAACAGGAACTAAGGTGATCTTGGTTACAAACCTCCTGCTCAGAGGTGAAAACTCATGTTTTTTCATGGATTTGAATGCACGTTTTACATCACCCTCTTTAAAAATCTAGCATTACGTTTTAAATATGCGATATATTTATGAGATAAAAGGGGCATGGTTTATAGGCTAAGCAACCTAAGTTGTCACATCTTTTGACGTGAAAAAATATAATAATTAGGATCTAAGATTTGCTACAAAATAAACAGTGACGATTAAGTGGGAAAATAAACAAAAATTCAAAGGTTATCCCATCTCAATGGTATTATTAAAAACATGTTAACTTACAGTGCTTTACAATAATTTTGTAAAACCGTACAGCTAAAAACAGAATACTTTGTATTTTGTTCCATTCTGTTAGGTCATTGGTTCAAAAATGTGATATTTATTTTTATCCCAAATAACATCATCGTAGCTGACTTCAGATAAAAATAGACGCTGTGAATTATGACCGATAAATTTCGGTTAAGAATGTTTAAAAAAGTACAGGCAATTTTCAGTCATCAAACAAGTAAACAACACATACTGAAAATACAGGAGTATATGCATATAATTATGAGGTAGCTAAGATGTTGGATGATTTGAGTAAATTTATTAGAAGAATAGACGTTTTGAAGTGTGATAAAATATTGTCAAGTATTCAGCTATTGTTAAAGAAAAATTGAGATGTGAACATGTACATAGACTACTCTGTGCTTCCTTGATGATATTACTAAAGTCATACGTAAAAATAAAAATGGAGAACTTCTACCAGTTATTGAAGTCAGGTTTAATGAAAGTAATCAAAGGTCAATAACACAACAGAGTTTCAAAGTAAATGAGAGTCGTAATTAAAACGTGTTGAAGAGCGAGTATAAATTATGCTTATTTTATGAGTTGTTTGTAGCAGCAATTCATACGACTTTACATTTACGTAGCAACTCGAAATGATATGAACTTCTCATATGAAGAAGTCAGTACGAAAATTATAGTGGGAGACGAATTCCTGTTTGACTCACATGTTTTATGTACAGCAAATTATAGTGCTAATTGTTATGAGTTTTTATGACTTTTATTATGTACTTACAACCCTTTGCTTTTGCCATTGAAACATACCTAGAATTGTTTTGATGTAGTCATTTATTCAATTTATCAAACTGATACTTGAAGATTTTAGTTACAAATCGTAAGCAGTGGCTTATTAAGATATATATCTGTTATGCTTGCTAATTCACAAATTTTAATGCTTTACAACCATTTCTGGAATGCAACGATTTTTTCGAAGACCTTGATAAAATCGATGGATGAAATGAGTTTGGAAACAACTAGCTTGTGTTTCATAGCATAAAACAGATTATAAAAAAACTTGTGGCTGATTGCATGATATTGTTGCACATGGTAAATTCATTAGACTAACCAGTAAAGAAACTTAACCGAAATATTTTCGTTTATGAACACCTGAACTATTCCATACTGCAAAGTTTAAAAATCAAACGTAAAGTATGCCTTCATCATTAGTCTACCTGGAAAGTGGAATCAAAATTTATCGTGTCAGCTATCATACACCAAAGTAATTTAGACAAGTTGCTGTGGTCGATTAAGGAAACGACAAAAGGCAAGGCTCAAATGATAAATATGATTATTCTTTTCTTCACAAAAAACGTGTTGCTGTAAAATAGCTCACTCAGCAAATTTTATTATCAGCACAAACTCCCGCAATTACGATAATAACAACGCTGTGCGTTCATTCATCTAGAAAAAAGCGACTAAAGGCAAATCTTAAATTGACATTCTAGACTGAAATCTTGCATTAAAGCCTTAATTTAAACATCCTAAATTCGAGAACAAAATAGTCGGATATAAATAGTTAATTATTGAGGCGTTAACTGTTAGTCCTAAAGATCAACTTCTTAACACATTGTTTGAACTTCAAGAAGACACTTTATTTCGAACATATTGTTCAAGAATCAAATAGAATTCAATACATTCACAGTATGGTATGCAAAATTAATGTGGCATATTCAACTGTATCTGTAAAGTTTCTCCGGATGCCCTGAGACGTTTGCCTCTTACTTTTTTGCTTGTTATTATATGAAAAAACATATTTTGAGAAAAGCTGCAAACGAAAGAACTTCTGACATGTTATGAATTTTAGAGCATAATTATTCAAAACCAAAGCCTGGTTAAGTTAAACGCAAAACATTGTACAAATTACATTATATATTCTTGTGGTCGAACGACTACTGCTAACTGCTGACTTGCATGGACTTATTTGGGAACCTTTAAGACTTAAACTCATAATGTTTACACGTTTCTATGTTATTGAAAATACGCGGGTAAAAAATAACCTTTAAAATCTAACATTCTAAAGTAAATCCGAAAAGTTTCAATAGGCAATCTCAATTTTTTATTCTTGAATTAGGGTGACAAGACCTGGGGATTGCGTCAACTGTTTCATATTATACCTTGATGAAGGCGTCAGATCTTTGATAACTGCATAAGATTTGTAAAGCTGAGGAAATCACCAAAATAAATAACTATATTATTCATCCAGTTCGTTCTCGATTTATCGAAGTATCCTAGGGTAAATGATCCCAGCTATGCATCAGAAGATGTCACAACTATCCAGGGCTTAAAAGTTCCTTTGTTGATAACAGCTTTATAACTAGTCTCAGTCGAACAAGAAGCCAGGAATGAAGTTCAGGGTTATGTTTGGTAGATAGTCGGTGTGTTGACAAGTATATGATCTAGACTGACAAACTATTGAGACAGAATGAGGTGTTTGCACGAATTAATGATACTTGACGTTCATCTGATTTCGTATTCTAACACAATTCACTCCTTTGCATCCACATAGACCTATTTACTGTAAGTTACACTATCTCGAGATCCACTGGTTTATATAGTAATTAAAATACTTCCAAGCATCACATTGGGATTAGACCCTATATGGAACAGTTGAGCAGGAATTAAAATTCTGAAGTGTTTAACAAGTATATGGAAACGTTCGAAATCAGGAGCATCGCCAGGAAAGGTGTGAAAGATGGTAAACTTGTGGCACATTTCCATGCATTCATTGAAAAGAATCCTACAGTTTAATGAAAACTTTGGCATTTCCAGAAAAGCCTATTTCACATCCCCATGCAACTGTTAAGAACCTATTATTAAATCACGTAAAGTACGCTAGTTTTTAATGTCGTGGGAGAGCAGAATTTCATGAAATGATTAGTCAGAATAACCAAAAGATTAGTGAATTCATCCTTGAATTGCAGAACAAGCTGCCAAATGTAATTTTGGTGACCAACTTTATGTGCAGCTGCGAGATCGACTGATTTCAAGAATTGACATACCAGATATGAAAAGATAACTGTTAAAATCCCTAACTATTCTCTACAAGATGCCAGAAATACACTTACCAATTACGAAGCAATAAGTGAACGTGATATCCAGCCGGCGAAACGTTCTGACACTTTGCTTAGTCTCCATGATGAAATACAATCTCAGGGTCGATCAAGCTCGCGTTTGTTGAATGATGATCAACAAGGAATCGCAAAGCAAACCACAAAGGTGAGGGCAAGTTTGGTAAATGTTTATCCTCTGGCAAATTTCGTTTTCGTAATTCATCTCCATTTCTTATTGCTAAATGTTTTAAATATGAAAGTAGGACAGATTCAGTCAGCAAACGAAGCTACTGTTCATATTGCTTCAAGTAGTACTAAACAATTTAGTTTAGATCACATTAATTAGGGTGTTTACAACGATCATTTATCTTTATCCACCATTCCAAAAAATAATGTTCTTATTCAAAAGCGTTTAAATTCATCCCTTGGTTTGTTTCATGACTTTATTGTAGACAGATACAGTATAGTGTTCATTATCGCATTCAAGAGCTAGATATTCTTAAATTCTAGCGTTGTGGGGCACCTCTGCTGACCTCTCGGTATTGAGGATTACTGGACACAAATTGGCCATTCAAGGATGAACTGGAGAGGAAACTAGCTACATTTCTATTGCGATATAGAAATGCCAAACATTCATTAAAGAAAGAGAATCCATCATAGCTATTAAAAAGTAGGATTCTTCGCTCGAATATGTAGTGATTAAAGTCTATAAACGTTGCGTACTGTCGTGAAAATGATCTTCAAATAGTCAAGAGGATTGTGGTAAAGAAAGTCAAGAAATCTACGGTACAAACTCTAGGTATCAATTATTCAAGTGCACATAGCTGACGTGTTGATCAGATACAAGTGAAGGAACCAACTGAGTCTTTTCAGATTTCAATTTTTAATTCTAATACTAACGAGTATATTCAAGATAATGTACTGTCTCTATCCAGTGTACAGTCTGACAGACACACAATGAACCTAAGGAGAAAACGTATGTAGCGATAATTAAATCCCCAAAATAAATAGCACTGTAAGTTTTCGACATTGGATGGTGACAACATGTTTTAATGGACTCACCTAGCTGAAGGTGCTCGGTCATGCATCCGCACCAGATCACGTGTGGGAACGCCGTGCTCAACATTTACTGCAGTCGCTAGCCAGATTAGATCAGACGATTCTCGATATATTGATGTCACATCAAATATATCTTCCAATCTCCTCGATTCTGTCTTTTGATTTCTCTTGGTGGGTACGTTTTATATTAGGTGTTACTGGTTAAAGCGTTGTCAAACATTGAATACCTGTGCCATCTTCACGCACAATCGAGTACAGTAACTTAGATTCCAATTTAAGATATGGTGGTTGTGTCATTTGTTGCGTTTTTATAAACTAATAATTCATTTGTACTTGATATGCCCCTAGTTTTGAATTCTCAATACAATACGTTCGTTTGTGCCCACCTAGATGTGTTTGATCTAAAATGCGCTATTTCGAGGGTTCCTAGTTCGAATAATAATTCAAACACTTTAAAATACCACACAAATGTATGACTTTATGTGACTCATGGTGATCTGCTGTGGAATAACTACTGAGATAGGGTATGTCCAGTAAAAATAAGGACTTGGCCATCAACATCGGAAACCTACAGAACTATAAATCTTGGGATTTGTTCACTACTACACCCCACGTTACCAGCCAAAATCTCAAAACATAAAGCGTCTGACATTAGTAAACACTCTTTCAATAGCTTGTTATGTTAAGCAGCATTTGGTAGTCTTTCCCTGATTTAAGAAGTCATGTGGTACGATATTACAATAAGAATGTACGACGAAAACCACGAATAATTGTTTCTATCGTCGGTTTTTCGTTTTCCCAGTCGTCCAGGAGAATAAAAGTGAAGATATAAGTGCATGTCACAACCCACTAATGTGAAACGGTGCCATGGTCCAGAAACTCTGAGATATAAGAATATTCCCTTGAATCTCTGCCCTATCAAATCAAGATGAATATGATAGAAACAAACGTCAGGAGTTGAGAAGTATCCTAAGAGGTATTTGTTGGGTCTTGTCATCTTAGATCTCTGGCTGCTTAAATAGGGGCGTGCCCATAACTAAGTGATCCATGCCGTACATTTGTCACATTATATTATTCGCAAAATATACCCCTGTGGGTCAGGGCACTTATCAAGAGAACCAGACACCATCCAGACTTTCACGTATCAACCCTGAAAATACAGCTCAAACCCGTCTAACAGGAGAACCAGACACCATCCTGGATTAAACTTTATAACCATAGCAATACAGCTCAATCCCACTTCACAGGAGAAATAGACACCATATAAGCTTTAACGCCACAATCTGTATAAGACAGCTCAATCCTGTGAAGCAACCACATAGATACCAAGCAACCTGATGCCCAATTTGCACCACTTACATACACATTCAGATTACATGTATAAGTATTCCGACCAATAATAGCGTAAATCAACTATGCACAGCATGAACAGGCCAAGGTTGACTTACTACACTTACACGACAGTTAAGCTCATTAATGTTAGCAATGGCGACATGGTAAGAGGTTTGCGGTCAGTGAAGAGAGCGGGCTTGCGATGAGAGCAGATACTGGCTGTATGATCCTTAGTGCTGACCATACGATAAGTGATGAGACTTACATTAAACTGTAGCGTGGCGTCGAGTTGGGATTAACTATGAACACCACTACCAAGAAACACGTGCCAAGTAAATCAGAAGGCGAAGATCGAACGTAACCAGGTTTATTTCGTTGGCGATCTCGTGGTATTGAACGAATACCGAGGTCGTGTCAAGGAATGGTACAAGTGGAAGCAGAAGACAGGAGTACGTGCGAACAGTACCAAAAACCGCGGAACAATGATGTAAGGTAATGGAAGCACAAAATGGCTATAATTAGCACAGTTAAATAAAAGCACATTAAAACAAACACTGGTACAGTTGGTTATAATAATAATTGTTTTTATTAAACTAGTCGTGTTCTCGTGATAAACGTGAGTTACTACAAAACGATGAAAAATTGAAGGTCAGCAAATGTGAACATGGGTACACTCTATGTTACTCCATAACTTTTATATGAGACATATTATTTTATCACCTGCCAAAACCCGTTCTTCAAACGTTCATATAAAATTAACTACTCTTAGATACTATAGACATTGAGGTGAGATTTTGTGAGCAATTATACAATGACAAGCCCGCAATATTAGCCTAGATTTCGACACAAATCTCACAAAATCTACGAGTCTTAAACAGTGTAGTGTAAAACATTGATGATGTCACAGGTATTCAGTGTTTGACAACGCTTCTACCAGTAACACCTTCTAATATATTTCGTTCCCGCCCAGAGAAATCAAAAGACAGAGTCGAGGAGATCGGAAGAGTATATTTGGCGATGACCAATATATCGGAATTCTCTGATCTAATCTGGCTAGCGATTGCGGTTGATGTTGAGCACGGCGTTACCACACGTGATCTGGTGCGGATGCCTGACCGAGCGCCTTCAGCTAGGTGAGTCCACTAAAACATATGGTCAGCATCCAATGTCGAAAACTTAGTGCTATTTATTTTGGGGATTTATTTACCGCTACAGATCACTCCCCCCCTAGTGGGTCAGTGACGACCCTAAGACGTGGCCAGCCAGAAGTTTAAACCCAACGAGTTTGTCGTTGGTAAACACTCTTCTGATAGCTTACTAAATTTAGCAGCTTCTGGTCGTCTTTCCTTACTATATGGGACGGAGGTACAACATAGTAAAAAAAGAAAATGTACATGGAAAATTTCGGATCCTCATAAACGTCATCGTTCTTTTCCAGCCGTCCTGGAAAAGGAAAAAAAATGTAAGTGCATGTCGAAAATACACTCGTATGTGCGTAAAAGCACAA